TGTTGTAAGAAAGTAATGCTTGTGGCATCATAGGATATATTTTTTATACCCCTATTGTGCTTTTGTCACTGAATATTTTTACTGTAGACTTATATTTTATGTATCCCCAAGCAACAATTCATACACAAACTTGCTGTTATGTTCTAAATTCATACACTAGTTAGGAATTCTGTTTTTAAAATAAATGTTACAGTTTACTTCTCAAGAGATCTCAACAGCCAGCATCTGATTGTGAAGGGATTAAAAATCCTAATCAAATTCATATTTATATACATAAAAAAATATTACTGCAAGGCAATAAAATAATTTGCAAGCAGCAGCTCAGCATTAGCTGGTAGATAATTACAGACTGCCTTGATATGCACTGAGCAGTTATGTCACATGATTTAATCTTGAAATTGTGCAAGCCAGATTGTCAGCAAATGTATAGATCAAATGTTGTTGTAACCTGGTGTATATCAGCTGCCATAAAATGTTCTGGCTTGTCATGGGAAGCAATGCATTTGACCACATTCATATCGTTTGAGTCCACCTTACCTGCATAGTTGCCATTTATATATATTTTATGGATGTCATAGAGATAAGAGATAGAACCTAGTCCTGACTTTCTTCTATATATATTTGCTATCAATATGCACGTTAACTTAAACCTTTTTTAGAATGACACTCTTGCTCAAGTCTGATACATTTACAAAAACATACAGTATTATAGTTAATGGGTTACTATATCCCTTTTCAAACCGTCTTCTTTTTTTAAACTTGGGCATTCCTAGTTAGGTCTCCTCTTTAAAGAGTAATACATTTTTTTTTAAAAACTTACTTGTAATCCAACGCCAGGTGAAGCTCTCTGAGCTGATCTCCACTCTTCCCACCTGATGTCACCAAGGGTCTAGCATGGTCCTTCAAAGGCTTCTCATAGAGAAGCCTTTGTTTCGACCACTTCGCTAGCTTAGAACACGTGCGCTCTGAACCAGCATGGGTAGGGAGGGAGAAAAAAAACAAACTATGGAGGTAGAAGGGAGCGAGCGAATAGAAGACGGGTAGGGAAAAGAAAGCTTCCCCTTGCAAGTGCTGTAACTGCAAGTGGCAAGTTAATTATGTCTATTACCAGTGCGCTGTAGCGTGATGATGGACATATTTTTTGCACAGTATTGACATTTGCAAGCGGGAAGTCATGTGTGCTGTGGTTTTAACAAGTATGAAACCATGCAGAACCAGACTCCTACCACCATGACCACTTCAAATCACTGAAGTGGTCAGGCGGGCTGGAGTAACCTTTTAAGTGTTTAGTCTTGCATATGTTTTATGAACCAAGAAATTTCAGGAACCTTTATACTTAAAAAGATGTATACAAAGGGAAATAAAAATGCTTTAAAAAGACGCAAGTATTAAAAATACCGCCATGTCTTGATAATTATTCATGCCATCTGATCTATATCATACAGTTTACCAATAGAGGAAGTTTATTTGACCTCCGCAATCACATATCACTAACACAAATATGCTTTGCTTTTTGTCTCCTTAAGAAATGTTGAGCTCAGACTTTTAGAAGACATTTGATATCTTTAATACTCGTGTGCCCTGGGTTACAGTTTACATTGCAAGTTATGCTATTTGACTATAAAACAGCCAGGGCCAAGAGGGTATTTCCCTTTAATCTGCTTCTCCATCACATGTTACTTAGAGGGATATTCACTAAACCATGAATTGGTGGAACTGCAAATCTTAGCTCAAAAAAACTGAATTTGAATTTCTTTGAATCCATTTTTTTTTTTTTTTTGGCTAGGAAATACATTGAGGCCAGAGGCAATTAGTTGTTTAATTCACAGATTTCAAGTCCTGGTGTTACCTCACATTTCATTATCTGTCCACAGAGACTCAGATTAGTTTGCTTTTAAAACAGTTGCTCTCCAATTCTCTTTGTATTTAATTTGTGTTTTTAAATAACCATACAGTAATGTCTGTCTACAGTAATTTTAAGACACAATGCAACTCTGTCACAAAAAAGTGATGTAATTTGCTTCTATATAGCTTACTATTTGTGAATCTCGTTTTTATTTTTCAGTCAGTGCCTGGATTTTGATACAATAGATAAGAAAAACTAGAGACTACTTTTTTAATGTATATTTTAGATTATTTTTTTTAAATTTGACAATGGGCAGAGCTTAAGCATGGTTCTGTTTAAGTCCCCAATATATATAAAGGCAAGTTGCACATATGGCGTATATTCATTAAGATACAGGGAGCATAAGGAAAAGAAAACAAACAAACAAAAAAAGCAACATTGCAAACCCTCTTTAAGAAGGTACTGCCTTTAAATATAAAAATTCTATGTAATGTACCTCCTAAATGATATATAATTGGTGGAATGGGCAAGGAGCAGCCAAAGTGGTAAGTGCTGGTGATTCAAATGTTTTACCAATAATAAGAACTTACCAAAAAGTGGTGTGGCAGGCTGGCACGCAAGTTAGTTTAGCACAGTGCTTTGGGTCTGCCGAGATGATTCTGGTATGCTTATTAACTGAGAGGAACATGAGGACTGCTATACGTATATGTGTTTTTCTTTTTAATATATCATATAGCTAAAAATGACCATGTATACTTGTTATACCAAATAACCTGCATATCATGCAATAAATGTTAAAGGGACACTATAGTCACCAGAACAACTTCAGCTTATTGCATTTGTTTTGGTGAGTATAGTCATTCCCTTTAGGCTTTATGCTGTAAACACTGTATTTTCAGAGAAAATACAATGTTTACACTACAGCCTAGTGATAACTCCACTGACCACTCCTTAGATGGCTGCTAGAGGTGCTTCCTGGGGCAGTGCTGCACAGTGAGCAGCACTGCCATTTAGTGTCTCCACTTTCTGCATGCAGACACTGAACTTCCCTCATAGAGATGCATTGATTCAGTTCATCTATATGATGAAGATGTCAGCAGATAGCTGGCAGGTCAGAGGCAGACAGGGGCAGAGCCAACATCTGCAGACTTGAATACAAGTAAAATTTTACTATATTTAGGGAGGCAAGAGGGAGCATGCAGGGCTAAATGGTGGTTTTCACACTATAACGTGGAATAAATGTCTGTGTTCCTGACATGTGTTATTTTAATGGCTTGATAGCACAAGTTTTGACAAGACAACTGCAACTTTTCCAAACTGTTTTAAAATATACTCTCAATTTAAAAATGCATAATTAAATGCATGCATATTTGGTGTATATGTACTAAACTGTGGTTTTATTTATTTTGAATTTGGGTTGTGTCCCTTTAAAAATACAGTTGATGTAAAAGTTTTCAACTGTATGTGCATCACAGTAAGATTCAGCAGTAACATACTACAGTCAATAGTCCATTGATTTTGTTTATTTATCATTACAGTTTGGCTATCAGCAAGTGATAGGTGATATTACCAATGCAATTATTATTATTATTTTATTATTTATATAGCGCCATCAGATTCCGTAGCGCTGTACAATGGGTGGACTAACAGACATGTAATTGTAACCAGACAACTGGACTTACAGGAACAGAGGGGTGGAGGGCCCTGCTCCGTGAGATAACATTCTAGAGGGAGTGGGGTATAGTGACACAAAGGGTAAAAGTAGGGGTGTGAAGTAGGTTGTTAGAAAAGTATTAATTGAGGGCTTAGTAGGTAATTATTGACAGTTGCAGGAGAGGAGTCATGGAAGGTGGGGAATGAAAACCTGCTAACAATTTAATTGATATGCTTTCTTGAAGAATTGAGTTTTCAATGATTTTTTGAATGAGTGGAGACTGGGTGAAATTCTTACGGAGAAGGGAAGGAGTTCCACAGAAGAGGTGCAGCCCTGGAAAAGTCTTGAAGGCGTGTGTTAGAGGTGGGAGTATGGACAGAGGATATACGTAGGTCTTTGGCAGAGCGTAGGGACCTTGACGGGGCATACTTGTGTATTAGGAAGGATAGGTAGGTTGGAGCAGCAATATGTAGGGACTTGAAAGCAAGCACCAGAATTTTAAATTGAGCCCTATATCTAACTGGAAGCCAATGCAGGAACTGACAGAGCGGGGAGGCGTGAGAGGTGAGGGCAGACAGGAAAATGAGCCCCGCCGCTGCATTCATTATAGATTGCAACGGTGCAATCTGGGAACACGTAAGACCACTGAGAAGAGTATTGCAGTAGTCCAGGCGAGAGAGAATAAGAGCATGGACCAGCACCTTAACCGCATCCGGGGTTAAATAGGGGCAATTAGGAGTTTAACCTAAATTGTAGCAAAACTTTGAGTTACAAAGTAAAGCCAAGTGACATCTTAAAACTTTCCATTCATAGTGTTATGTTTACATCTGTTAAACTTGTTTGCTTTTATAAAATGGAATACAAGATTTCTAGCTAGCCTTTGTTTTTCCTTAAAGGGACACTCCTGGCACCCAAACCACTTCTGCCCATTGGAGTGGTCTGAGTGCCAACTCTCACCACCCTTAATCCTGCAAGTGTAATTATTGCAGTTTTTATAAACTGAAATAATTACCTTGCTTAGTTAAGTCCTCCTCTAGTGGCTGTCTATCAACAATTGGGATCTACATCCTATCTTCCACTAATGGTCATTGAGAGTTTAATAATGGTGATGTAATTCAAAGATGGCCACCTCTATACTGTCAGACATAATATGCCAGAAATATTTAAAATACTGAAAAAAAATCAAATGATAATTAAAGCTAGCTACATTTTATTAAACCTTACTAAGATAGCAGTATACTCAATTTGTTGAAATTATAGTGTAAAACTAATTTAGGGAATTTATTTTTTATTTTTTGCTAGTTACACTAAAGTAGTGTTCTATCAATATATTGTCAATATATTCCAGAAGTGACCTGAATAAGGAGATGAAGTATAATATACTTGATCCACTTTTCATGTCTCTAGAAGGCTGCCCCCTTCAGAAAAACGTTTCCTGTTTTTGGCTACAATCATTTTTTTCTCTCAAAATTAGTTATCCTGCAGAAACCATGAACCTTTAAGAGATATGTACATTATAGCAAATGTAAATTTATTTCACTCACCTGCCCTCTCCCAGTTTCTGCTCACACCTTCTTCTGAAGTTGCCTAGACACTTTAACTATGAACAAATAGGTGGAATATATATTAATGCAAGCCGCTGATGGTGGAATCTCATGTCGTGAGAATTTGAGATTGAAAGAGATCCGCTTTAAAAAGGTCCAACACAATTTTTCATGATATATTACATTACAATGTGTCAGTACTAAAATATTGAATAGTACAAAGCAATATTCTCATTATCATTATAAGACACATTGTACTAAACTAATCCAAAATTGTAGGTAGTGATCTTGTATCTGTACGCAGCTTAGAACTACATTAGTATATGTATTAAAACATGGTTTCTATACAAAGACAAGTCTAAATAATATAGTTTGTACATAATACAGATTGATTTCACTGCAGAGAGGTCCAAAGAATCTCTCACCTTGTAATATTCACGGATGAATACAGATTACCTACCCTTTATAACTCATGATGGACTTTTTATACACAGGAGTATATAACAAATGTATATATTAAATGTAAAACTGGTGCAACTCTAAAAAACTGAATTACATATAAAGAGGAACCATTGCTTCCCCCGGAATTTTAACATTATGTTTACTTATCTCTATATTTAACAAAAGCCTGCATAAAGTCTAACAAAAATGGTTAGAACCTCTTTCCAGAAAAGTGACAGTTCCTCTTTAATTTGTTGCTGTTTTAACAGATTGTACCCACATCCACCATACACTCAGCATCATCCCAGAATGCAAGGGTGCAATGCATTTAAGGAGCTTGAAGTCATTGCAGCTGTGTGTTCAGTCCATCCCCCAGCATAGTCGAGATTTATTTGTATTATATCAGTGATGGTGAATGTGTTTGAGTGCAAGTGCACAATCTGCTGCAGAAATAACTGTAGCGAGGTAAGTAAATAACTGATCAAAAAAGTACCCATTTGTTCTCCAGCTTTCCTTTCCAAAACAATACCACTTTCAAAGCAGAGTTCGCCATACTTCTCTTTTCTTTTTTTCTGGTCCACTAAAATGCTTGATGCTCTCATATATCAACTTGAGCTACGGCAATACTACCTTGCATTTTAGGCTCAATTGTTTTAGGATATATAGCTATATATTTTTTCTAACTGAATCTATACATTTGTTCATAATTTGTCAAATATTTTTTTTTTTTTGTAGAATGCACCCATATCAGTGTTAGGTAGAAAGTTAAATAAGTAATTTACTAATACCATTTTTCGCAAAATTGCACTCTTTCTAGAAGGTAAATAAAGTTTACTTGTTTTTATGGGGATCTCAGTCTTATAATCACTGTGGCAACAGGTTTTGCCTTTTAATGGTTTTAAATAATTCTGTATATATTAGTCACTATACATAAATCATGACAGTTCCCATCTTTCTCTGTGCATCACTGTGATCCTCTCTTTAAAATAAAGTATTTATAGAAGAGGAAGAAGTGAAAACATATGTTACAGTGATTTTAAAAAAGCACAGCCTTGTATAATGTTTTCAATATAATGTATGAACATGCTTTGTAACAGCACCTTTATAGAGATCCCTAATAATGAACATGCTGAATGAGAAATCAGAGAGGATTTCTTTATATTACTCTGTATCATAATGTAAAATATATCTGTACAATGACAATAAACATGCAGTGTTTCTAAAGAATTATTCTATATGGTATCATGTGTATAGTATTAACTACAGCTATACTTTTTTAAAGAAACAGTAAACTCAGTGTTTGCTGTGCAAATCCAGAGACTAGATGTGAATTATTTGCATTATTACTAGCATGCAATATGGAGGGTTTTTTTTGTTGTTGTTGTTGTTGCCAAAATCCTGGCCCTGCTACAATCAGTGATGAAAGCATCCTTATCTGCTTTACATGTAACAATGCAGGTTGTCCACTGGGATCAATCCTAAACCTTGCAGCCAGGGATATTGCCTTATTAGAGGGTCCATGTATGTGTATGCTACCTGCGTATTTCCAACAGCACATGTCTTTGCTGAACTCACAATGCCATACAGGGGTTGGTAGTGCTACAGCAGTATTCATCATGGAAATGCCAAAATTCAAAGAGAAGTAAATTCTAGTTTCTATTTTGTAATCAGCAGGTACAGATAGATATATTATTACTAAAAATGGCAAAATATCTGGAAAAGAATTAGGCTATTTGGCTATATAAAACACGGTTATTTCGTATACTTCAAGGTCACTTAAATTGAAAACATTGTGCAATATAACGAAACTTCCGTACTTCCCTTTCTTTGTCTTGTACATGGCGGCCCAGATCTGTATGAGCCATGGAACATTTTCCTGCTCCTGCCGGTATACATGTTTTGCACCATGTTTTTTGCAGCATCTCAAGATGATACTCTAAAATCCCAGATCACATTTCTACCAGGAAATTAAAAAAATCTACAAAATTTCGAGGACTGTTTGAATACAAAAACACAGTTTAGCTCACACCCTCGCTACAGAAGCCTCATATTGATAATTAGGTTCCGGGCAGCTGTAGGAGAAGACTGAGCCAATGGCTACTTCAGCTGGAATCTCCACCACTTGTGTCCACTTTAGAATGCTAGCCGTTAAGGTAAAGTATATTTAACCTGTTGTTTGAGGAGGGTGCATTAAGCAACCCCCTATACATCTGAAGTCTCTTGAGCACAAGAGAACATACAGTTAGTGTCTTCACTACTGAAGATATGCAATGCATTTCCCTGTAATCATTTGGTTTACATGCTGATACAGAAATATAGGAGTTAATGAAATACATATCAGCTGGAGGGCTTGCACCTTGGGGGTAAAAATATCTTCTTCATACTGATGTTTCCTGTTCTGCTTGCTGCTCTTCTTTCTTCCTTTTCATGTTGCAGAACCCGTGTAGGCCACAGAAACAGGCAAACGTAAACTGAGGCATTGGCAGCAAGGCAGGGGGGCAGCAGGCAATGACTTCAGGCACCTGCAGTGAAAAGGACAGAGTTAACAGAAAAAGTAAATCTATGCCATTCTAATATTTTTGTCCATACACGTCAATCAGAAGGAACCCCACAAGGAAGAAAAATAAATGATAACTGGAGCTATTTTCCTTGATTTTGCCAAGGCCTTTGACACAGTAGACCATGGCATTCTTTTGCAAAAACTTAAAAACTCAGGCATTGGTGATCGTCCGCTAACCTGGTTTTGATCGTATGTTTCAGACCGATTGCAATATGTGGCCATTTCTGATAGCGTCTCCCTCTTTCAATCACGTGTGGTGTTCCCCAAGGCTCCGTACTCAGCCCCCTGCTATTCACATTATTTATAAATGATCTGCCTAACGTCTGCAAATCCTTAACTGTACACATGTATGCAGACGACACTGTAATCTACGCTAGTAAACCCAATCTACCGCAGCTTAAGGCTGTGCTCCAAAACCAATTCACAGAGGTAGAAAAGTGTATAGCGGATAACAAACTCTTCCTAAACACTGACAAAACTGTTACAATGATCTTTGGAACTGTACCTAAATTATATTAACTACAAAATCAACAACTATGTATCAGAACAAATTCAAATAGCACACTGACAGCCGTCTGTTCTTTCAAATATGTAGGTATGTTGCTAGACCCCAATCTATCCTTTGGCCTTCACATTGAAAAAATCTCTTCAAAACTTTACCCAAAACTAGGTGCCCTGTACAGAAACAAATTCTGCCTAAGCCCTACAGAAAGGAAACAGATAGTGCAACAAATGCTAATGCCGGTCATTGATTATGGGGATGTAGTGTATGCACCCGCACCACAAACCCATCTTAATAAACTTAATACGTTATATAATTTGTTCTGCCGCGTTGTACTAGGATGTAATTACTTTACCCACCACTGTGATATGTTAAAAGAGCTAAACTGGCTATCGCTGGAATCCCGACACACTCTTAATCTTTCCAGCCTTGTGCATAAGAGCATTTCTGGGAAGCTCCCACCCTACCTGAGTAGAATGCTCTCCCCAGCTGTTCCCACCTCCTATAACCTCCGATCCAGCACTAGCATGATAGTTAGCAATACAAAAGTAAAGTGGCTCGATCCTCCTTTTCCTACAGAGCACCACAATTATGGAATAACCTCAGGGACACCGTCAAATCTTCATTCAATCTAAAATCTTTTAAGAGGTCTATGGCAATATACCTAAGCACAGAATGCACCTGTCATGGTTGAATATATTTATTACCTGTTATGCATTAAATTTATATATGTGTGCATGTATATGTATATGTATATATAGTTTGTATATTGCATTTTTGTAATATTGTATCCTATTGTAACAATGTAATGTTTTGTGGATCCAGGACATAGAAAATGAGAGAAATCTCAATGTATCCATCCTGGTAAAATATTTTATAAATAAATTAATTAAGCAAATTTGTAAAATGTGTAGCAAAAACAACCTAGCATTTATTTAAAAGGTTTCCACAACCACCATGACTACAGTGATTTGGAATGGTCATGGTGGTAGGAGTATGTACGTAGAGTGTTTCAGCTTGAAACACTACACATACAGAGATATTGTTAATTGTTTGCTGGGGATTAATTGCACCCCCAGTACACGTGACACTGGTAGATCAGAAATTTGTTCTGGACTGCTAATGTTAAATCTTCCCTTGCATGCAGAGTGCCTGCAATGGGAAGCTTGCTATCCCCTCTCTTCCACATTGCACTCCCTCCCACCTCCCTCCGTTGCACTTTTAAAAAAAACCCGAATGCATCCCTGTGACATCAAAGGTGGTGCGGAAGATTGGCGCCGGGAGCTTCACCCTGGGCATAATTCCAGGTAAGTAAAAATCTTTATTTTGCAGCTTATGTTGCAAACAGAGGAGGGGACTTCTCCATAGTGCCCAATAAGCCATTTTACATAGGAAAGGTCCTCCCCTCAAAAGGGTTATAGTAACGCTTTAACTTTAATTACCAATGATATATCTATAAACATTATAATTACCAAGAGCAATACAGTATATCTATATTTATATAATGTAATATTTTTTTCATAAATAGAACATAACTCTTAATCTATAATTAAACATGGACATCCGCATGAGCTATTTAGAGCACATTACTGTATTGCTCGAAGGCCTTGTGTGAAAACCTACATCCATCATATGACAGAACAGAGGATGATTGCAATATTTCCATCAATACACTCCTACACGAGTTCTCTTGGCAGCTATTTGCACTGTCTATCTTGAGCACTATCAATGTTTGCTAATATTTGAAATGTGCCAACTTGTAGAGTATTTTAGGAGACAAGAGCCTATTAAAGTAATTCCCTTTGGAATAAGCAGTGGGAAGTCGCTCCAAATTTTTACAATACCAACAGGGTAGGGAAACTCCAGTGTGTATAGTAGGAGGATGAGATAATTTTTTTTCAAGAACAGGAGGTGGCCATAAAATGCTTTTTCCAGGAAATATTTTGTATCTGATCTATACGGTACGAGGAGAAACAGGATATAACATTCTTCTCATTCCACGATACATATCAAATTTACAGTCTCAGTTCCTGAGCTGCTTGCACAATATCAAACGTCTCTATCTGATCGTAAAGGTAAAGGACCGTAAAAAAAAGTAAAGTTTACAGTTAAATGAAATATTGTACTAGAAAAATTTGGTGCGCCACTGATCATCCTTTAACATTTACATAGTGTTGTTTTACCAAATGCATAGTAAATAGTTGGCTTTAAAATATATTGTGTTTGTGATGTATCTCTAAAGTCACACTCCAGACTATCAACGCTCTATTTTCTAAATGTATTAAAATTATGCCATTCATATAAATACAAAATAAGTATATAAAAGAAGAAGTTGGAGGTATATCCTCTTTTTCCCACAACTTAGGAGTGGCTATCACTATTCTCTTAATTAATCCTATTGAGATTTGCTGGGTAAGTGCCATGCATGCTAGGGCCATCTCACACCAAACTGGCATCATCTCACGCCAATTTGGAGTCTTTGGTGTAAATTGATACTGTTCCAGGGACTCATCATTCTGGCGTCATTATTGATAACCTCAGTCGTTAATGATATTGAATGAATCACAATTCCACTTTTACATCAGTTTTGCCATAATCAGACTGGTGAAGAATGCTATATGTCAAGCTAAACACTTAAGTTTCACATTCGCACATTTAGCAAACAACACTCACTAAAACAAAATTGAAAATGGTCAGATTCAAATATGACTAGAAAGCATGTTGAAATAACTTACTTCTCCTGTTTAAAAGCTTCCAAGAGGCTGGCCAGAAGTCTCCTCCTCCATCAGTAATCATTTGAATAAAATGCCATGCCTCCGAAGGGAACGCACATCAGTTATTTGAAGTGGTCATGGTGCTTGGAGTCTGTATTTGCAGCATTTCAGTATGAAAAGCTGTGCATACACAGTTTAAGCCCTCTGCTGACAAAGATATAACACCTCAGACAGCATCACTGACGTTCCATTAGCCAGCCCTGAACAAAAATTGCAGGCTGGCTGATATAAATTATGTACATATTGGATGTCTGTATTCAGCATGTGCAGCAAACTGCCAATGCACATCCAATGGCAGTATTGCCCCCCTCCCCCTCGATGTCCTCGTCTCAGTCCGTCCTCACCCTACATCCCATCTCTGCAATTAGGGGGAGTGACTGAGCTGATGGGAGAACTTGTCCTCGACACTGGAATATAGGTACTTTACGGAGGTTTGTTGGCTTTTTTATTTTAGTTTGGGGGGAACAGGGTTGGTAGGGTTATTCTATCAAAAAACAGTGTTTTTTCATTTGATAGTAGTAACGCTTTAAGCCATTCTGATTTCCACATGTATATGATTCAGAGCAGACCCCATAGACTAGTATGGGGGATTGTTTCAGCTGGGAACTGTTTGTTTGTACATTTCTTTACGTATATTCACCTTCTTTTTTTTATTTTTTTTTATTATGTATTTTTATGTATAATCTATATGTTAAACCCATGGTTTTTCTTCACGAACCTAGTAAGAAAAGCAAACTGTCTCCATAGGCTTAGATGTAAGGCTTCAATGGAGCAGTCAAATGGACACACATGAAAACTACAACAGGGTAAGATGGTCAAGTTTCCATGAATCCAGAGTCTTAACAACACTGAAAAACAAGAAATTATTTCCCGAGTGTAACAAATGACTAACCCTACAAGAAGAAATGGGAGTCCACAGGAGATTCCGATGCAGTTAAGTAAGTTGAGTAAGATGCATAATTCAAAAGACTGGATATTAAACCACCCGAGGGAAAGTAAAGATTCTGAAAATCATATTTGGTCTTATCTCAGTCTACACATGCACACTTTCATCTGAAATCCTAAAGGAGAACACTGACAGCGGAAATACAACTCCCTGAAACACCAGCTGTGCCCATAAATCCCTGCTGTGCATTATATATATATTATAGAAAGCTCCGAGGTTGAATACTAGGATTATAAATTTGAATTCTAAAGGATACTAAGAGATCAGTATAAAGATTAATAATAGGTTAGATGAGCCTGGAGGTAAGCCTGGCACTGGCATTTATCAAAGGCTGTAAAGAGGGTATCTGGGCATATTAAAGCCTGATGAGAAGCACTTTAATTGTTTCTAATTGTAAAGCCAAGCTAATATAAGTTTTTTAAGATGAAAGTGGAAAAATATAGAAACAGACTGGATGTGAGGAACATAAATGATGTCAAGGAAGTAAACTGGTGGGACAGAGCCAATGGTAACACCACTGACATGGAGGATGAATGACAAAAGATGTTTGTGTTTGAGACAGAATTTTATTTGTTTTTTAGACTATGAATTTCAGGAAGTGGGAAGTATTGAGGTAGGAGAGGCAGCTGATACGATGACAAGATCCATGAAGGAAGAAGATGTAGATATGGTTGTCATGAATATATGAAACTGAAAGTTATTAGATTGACAAGAGTGGCATGACAGAGCCAAGGTGAACATTGAAAGAGCAATGGCAGGAGTAAAAAGAAAATTAAAAGGAATATCAGAATCATGTAGCCCAAGGTAAGAGGATCACCCTAAGCTTGCTGTAGTGACTATGGTGCCATGGGTGCTCTGGTGCACTCCCACAGTAAGTAGCCAGTTCCACTTAAGAATAGACTGACAACAAACCTGGGGTAAGCTAGGCACCCACCACCACCTCTTCTGCAGCCAGAAGATTTGCCACTCACATGCAGGAATACACATACTGGCTGAGAGCACTCAGCTGTTGCTCTAAGCCAATGAACCAAGGCTTAGAAAAGTGAACCTAATAGAAGTTTCTGTCTCTAGAGGAGGTGGCAGTACCCGCTCTGTTAAGTGTTTGCACCACCCTCTTCAATTGCAAACATTCCAGAGGAGTGGGTGACAGGCTCCAGATAGACTTCAGATAAGTTGTCAACGGTGTGACTATTTACTTTGGGATGGTGCCAGGGCACCATATCCACTACAGTAGGCTTGTGATTAAGGTACTTGGAGTGTTCCTTTAACTGACTTATATATGTATATATGTAAATACATGGAAGTAGTTATGCTTTGTTGTATTTTTTTAGTGGAATGTATACTGAAATGAGGTGCAATTACAAAAGGCTTTCTGTCCCCTAAAAACACTAATGGTCCTACGAGACAGTTATTACTGCTGGTTCCCAAGAAGCCCCAGGTATCATTTGTTACATGATGGTCCTCATTGTCAGCCAGGTCTAGAATTAGTGGCCCCAGACTGACAAATAAGTTATATGTGGTGCTCAGATTAAGTGCTTTAAAATGTCCCTAGCCTGCAGCATTAAAAAAATCAGGAAACCCGGTGCAGCCTCTCTTAGTTGGAGCTACAATTAGTGGCCCCAGACTGACAGAAGAACTATGTGCTGCTCTCTCGGTGAGCATGACACATAGCTTTTTAAGTACTTGTGTCATTAAGACAGTGCCCCCACCCCTCCCTCCAGCCCTGTCAAAGTGCCAATGTCTCCCCCAGTATTAGGGAGATCCCCAGAGTTTGAAAAGCCCCTTTGGATGTCTACCTGAATGCTCCTCAGCCCATTCATCAATACTGGGCTTGCCAGCTGCCCAGCAATGATCACAGTTATTAAAGCTGCAGAATGAGTGAGAGCTCTCCTCCATAGAACACTGTGTTTTATGCTAATTTGGGCTCCTGGCAGCTGAAGCACCAGGAGCTTAAGAGTACTGGCAGGAAGAAAATGGCAACCACTGCAAAGGACCATAGGAAGATGGTGGCGACGTTACTGTCAGGAGACTTGACAAAATATACAAAGACCCCAGATGGTGACAGAGCTGATGTAATGGAATTTGGATTGCTAGGGATATTATTGATAAGGGAAAACTTTTGCCATTTTTTTTTTTTATTTAGCATATTAGGTTTCCACAGCACTATATAGTAAAGAAATCCCAGAGCCTTGTGTATAATTAAAGAGCACTCCTAGCACCATATCCAGTACAGTGTGCAGTAGTGGTTATGTTGCCAGGAGTGCCTTGATGCCCCACAATTGTAATGAGTCAAACAGTTTTTTACTACGGCAGTGGTTATGGTCATTAGAATGTTTCTTCAAGGACATCTCTTGATCTTTAAAAAAAGGCTTTAAAAAAAAAAAAATTGCTTTCAAAAGTTTTCAGGTTAGTTAAAATGTTAGTATCTGAGTTGTATCCATACAGATGAGGGTATTATTACATTGCACTGTCTGTTGCCCTAATGAGGCATCAACTGTATAGGGAGATGATTAATACAGCAAATGCAGAAGGCCAGTGTCCAGCATCAGATGTGAAGACAGTACTAAATTATCCTTGTTTGACAGACAGACTGCTAAAAGATGTGATTCTCCACATCTTCAAGGTAATTCAGCAGTCACTACAAAAAAACGTGGCTTGATGCGCTGTGTCTCAATGTACAGTGAGCTTCCAGTGCAACGCTCTCCGCCTTCACACAGGTCAATAGTTAGTCAATGTACATCGACCACTCTTTGTACATAGTCCTGCAGATGACGTATAAATAAATAAATTGTGCGCATGGGTGGGTCATGGAACGGTAGAATTAACTTGTGTGCATGAGTATAACTATATCCTGCTCAGCAGGGCTGGCGCTGAACTCCCGGCTCGGGTTCAGGTTTCCACAAAACTCTTAATGGGCTCCAAAATAGCGGCAGAGTCGGCTGACTTTAGCCGCCAGACTCCGCAGCAGACCGACAAAGAGGATTCTTAGCTCCCAAGGCCAAGTGTGCAGGTCCCTATTGCTGCAGTCAGCTTTAGTGCAGCTACTATAAGCCATCACCAATGTTTTAAGGAACAATGTAAAACATACCTTCTGACCCTCCCCCGGGCTCTGTATCACTCTGGCCACCTAACCCTATTTCAAGGCATTAGTGAACAAAGAGGCACAGAGGTAGGGCAACAGAGTGACAGGGGGATAGATAATCTAACTTCAGTCTCCCTGTCCCCCTAGCCTTGTGTCACTGTTCTTCTAACCCACTGTCACTTTAGTCCGTCGTCCTATTTATCAGATATACCAATATGTTTTGTCAATCTCTCCCCCTGTTCCTCTCACCCTTTTTCACTTGGTTCCCTAATTCCCTATCTCCTTAGCCCTGCTTTCATCTGGTCCCTCTGTCCCCTTGTCTATCTCACCCTTTGTCCCTCACTTTGTCCACCTGATTCCCTGTCCCTCTATGTCGTTCTGCCCTCTAACCTACTTAAAAGGATAAACCAAGTGACACAGGGATAGAGCACAAAGCTGATGAGGTTAGAGGATCTAGCCCTCTTTTTCCTCGGTCCCCCTAACCTTGTCTCACTCTGTATTTCTAACCCCCTGTCACCCTAGACCTTTGTACTATGTCTCCTCAATTACTTATATCCCTAAACTTTTGTCACTCTTTCCCCATTCCCTTAGTCCTGTGTCACTGTCACTCTGTCAGCCTAATCCTCTCTCCCCCTAATCTCCAAGCCCTTTGTCACTGTCCTTGTTTCCCTCTCACTTTTTGTCAATCTGTCTGCCCCTAGCACTGTCATTCTGTCCACCTAATATCCTGTCCTTTAAGCCCTGCTGTGGCACTTTGTCCCTGTAATCCCTTACCTCTCTGGCCCTCCCTCCCAGACCCTACCACCTCCTGGACAACTCACTAAGCATGCAGCTTCACAATGAATGTAAAATGGATGCTGTCCAGGAGGTGGGAGGGTCTGGGAGGGAGGGTCTGCTGCTGATTGGCTGGAATGTGTCTGCTGAGTGTGAGGTACAGGGTCAAAGTTTACCGCATATGTTCGCTGCCCGTGGCGAACCGTTCGGGACATCACTATTTGCAAGCATTGCTAAATGACCATATATGTGACAGAGTGCATGTATGGGTAAATGACAATGAACATGACTGTGTGGGTGTATGGGCAAATGACAATGTGCAATCATTGTTGAATGACAGTGTATGTGGCAGTATGCATGCATGGATAAATGACAGTTTAGGACTGTGTGCATTTATGGGTAAATAATTGCATAAAACTGTGTATATGGGCAGATTACTGTGTATGTCGCTGTGCATGCATGGGTAAATGACAGTGTGCAAGCATTGTTAATGCTGGAGTATTTGTGTGGGAATATTTGCCTATTCATCCAGTAGATCATTTGTGAGGACAGGCACTGATGCTGGACAAGAAGGCCTGGTTCACAATCTCCACTCCAGTTCATCCCAAAGGTGTTTGATGGGTTTGAGGTCAGGGCTCTGTGCAGGCCAGTCAGGTTCTTCCACAACAAACTTGTCCAACAATGTCTTTGTGGACCTAACAATGTCCTTGCTGGAATAGAAATGGGCCTACCCCAAATTGTTCCCACAAAGTTGGAAGCATAGCATTGTCCAAAATGTCTGGGTATGCTGAAGCATTAAGATTTCCCTTCACAGGATGTAAGGGACCTAGTACAACCTCTGAAACACCGCCCCATACCACTCTTCCACCAAACTTTACAGCTGGCACAATGCAGTCAGGCAGGTAACGTTCTCCTGGCATCCACTGAATCCAGACTTGTCCATCAGACTGCCAAACAGAAAAGCAAGATTTGTCACCCACAGAACACATTTTAATGGCGGCAAGCTTTACAACACTTGATCCGACACTTGTCGTACTTGGTGAATGGAAACCCATTCCATAAAGCTCCTGCTGCACAGTTTTTGTGCGGATATTAATGCCAGTGGAGGTTTGGAACTCTTCAGCTATGGAATCAGCAGAGATTTGGAGACTTTTACGCACCATGCACCTCAGCACTTCGTGACCCTGCTCTGACTTTATGTGGTCTTCCGCTTTGTGGCTGTTGTTCGCAAATGCCTTCAATACCAATGCCACTTACAGTTGATCGTGGAATATCGAGCAGGGATGACATTTCATAAACTAACTTATTTCAAACGTGGTGTCCTATCACATACCAGACTTGAATTTACAAATGAAAACTGGGCAGACTGCTAGGTGCTTGATTTTATACACGTGTCAATGGATCTAATTGAAACACCTGAATTATTAAGAGATGTGTCCCAATAATTTTGTCTATATAGTGTATGATAATATAATAATATAATGTATAGTGGACAGGAACTGTGACGAATTGCACTTTGCCACTGGGTTTTTAAAAGGCCTGCTTGCCAGCCTTTTGTCCTGTGACTATGGTCCCTGGGGTGTATTGCCGTTTAAACACTCTCTTTGGACTTATTGGATTTTAGGACACTGTTTCTGGCCCTTTAAATTCTATTGGCAAGGATTTGCATTTTCGAAGTGGCACTTTGGATACAGCCGAAGTAGTCGAAGTGACTGCCATTCGACATACGAACACGTGGCGGCAGCCATTTTAATTCAGTCGAACACGTTCAGCGGTGTTTGGTCGTCGAGTTCATGGAACTCAAATCGGATACGCGACGACACGAACACTGCTGAACTTTACCTTCTCCAGACTTCAACACTTCGACGGAAATGGAAGTGCGTTCGACAATACAAACGCCACTTTAACTTTGAGTATTTTTACGAATGGCCCCGTTTGTGCATTCGAACGGAACTTAGTATTTAAACTATTGGAAATAGACCAGCTGCACAGCCAAATTCTCTGGAACTGTTTAGGGCATGAAAATGTGCGTGCGGTCGGTAAAATATGACTTCCACAAAATTTTTTAACCCCTGATCTGATCTGGGTGATTTTTGGATATGTTGTTTACCCAGATCAGAGCTATCCAGGGATGTATATGGGCATATGTTTGTGTTTTGGGGTGTTTCTGGGCTTTGGGTAAAAATGGATATTTTCTGCCTGTGCATAAGTTATTCCATTAGCTAGCTTAATTATATCACAGGCAGAGGGGAAGGATTGCTGACTGTATGTGGGAGTGTTACTGTGATAATTATGGTTCCTATTGGTTTGTGTCCCTTTTGTCCCTGTGTTCCATTTCACATATATTATATATTTATAAATATATTTATTTTATTTTAAAACATGTTTAATAATATTTATTTTACTTTCCCACCACTTTCCCAACATTTTAGACAGTCCCCCTGCTATAGGGGGCCATCTGATCGCTCTTTGAGAGCGATCACATGGCCCCCGGGGGCTTCTTTTGCCGTGGGAGGGCTGCCTGCGCTCCAGGGCTCAAAGCCGTTACGGCGTTCTATGCCGCCGCAACAGCTTTAAAGCCCACTTAATGCGGGAAGACATAGAACGCCGTAACGGCGTTAAGGGGTTAAAACATTTCTCTGTGTGGGGGCTAGGCCATACTTGTTTATTATGTATAAACTTTGGTCATTTCAGGCTCTAGTGGCACTCCTGTTAAAAGGACAACTTTTCAATGAAACAGTTTATGTGTACAGATCATGCCTCTGCATTCTCACTGCTCAATTCTGTCATTTAGGAAATAAATCACTTTGTTTATACAGTCCCAGCCACACCTTCAATGCATGTGACTCACACAGCCTCCCTGGCACTTCCTGAAAGGTAGTCTAAATTTTTTAGCCTTCCTTACTGCACAGTATGTTGAGTTTAGAATTTATTATCTATTGCTTTGGTAATAGCCTGTTAGATCCTACAGGAGAATCATGCATGCAATTAAAGTTCAATTTACTAAGCAGGTGAATAAAGGTGATAAAACGTCCAAAATGCACACACAATGCTGTAAGTTTTGATTGAAAATTAAGCCATTCTTTTCATAGAGGCTGTGTGAGTCAATGCCAGGGAAGGTGTGGCCAGGGCTGTATAGAGTAATAAAACGTGTTTTAACTACTAAATGGCAGATAATTGAACAGTGAGACTGCAATGGAACGATCTTCATACCAAAACCAGATGTGGGCCTGCTCACTGAAGATGTGTGACAGACATTATGGGCCCTTGCTGACAGGACCATGCAGGGAGCACTGCTGAAGCTCTCTTTGCATGATCCTAGTGACTGCTGCACAGTGCAAGCACTCTAATGATACTTGCACTCTGCTGCCCAGGACAGTTCCCTAGCTGTCAGCAGATGCAAAATCAGGACTGTACCAACAAAAAGCGGGGCTGTTGGAAGACATGGACTCACACAGCCTCTCTATAGCAGACCTACTGAGAAAGACTCAAGATTATTTACCTTCCCTTACTGCATAGTAATTTTAAATTTAAATGTTATTTGGTGCTTAGAATGTCCCTTTAATATAAGGTATGTTAATAAACTATGGATAATACTATAGGATGTCTCCCATTGATTCAATACAGGGATTCCTCACTTACCGACTGGGTTCCATTCTTATGACTCGGCCGTAAAGCGAATCGGTCGGTAAGTGAGGATGCGCTACAGAGCATGCTCACCAGTGCAGGTCTATGTTCGAGGAAATTTACCCGAACATAGACAAGCGCAGCAGAGCAGGGAATCCCTCAAATATATGTTCAGGGAACATTCCCCAAACATAGACCAGCTCTCTAATGTGGGAAACCCCTTGAATGCGTTTTTTTATGTTCGGGAAAATTTACCTAAACGTAGACAAATGCAAAAGAGCAGGGAATCCCTCTAATCTATGTTTGGGGAAAATTCTCTAAACATAGACCAGCTGTCTAATGTGGGAAACCCCTTGAATGCCCATGCTAGAGAGCTGGTCGTAAGTGTGAGTCATCATAAAACAGGTAGGTCGTTAAGGAAGGATCAACTGTAATTACATATTCAACATCCTCAACAACAGTTTTGCTATTCTGAATCAAATAATGTCATTTTTTCTGGGATAACAATTCTGTTATTCTATATTTCCTTTTTTTTTCTAAATTCTTTCTTTAGGATGAGACCACAGTTAAGACATATTACAATAGCTGTTTGTAATTTTCCATTCCTTAGCATCATCACTTCTCTGAAAGTTTTTCAACTGAACATAACCTAGAACTTGTGTTAACCATTTTTTCCCCATGTGATGTCATGCTAATTTTGTTTTTTTGTAAATTGAATTTTTATTGTTTTATCAACATTCATATAATTGACAGTATCAAGAAAGAAATAATGCGGAACTCACAGGTCCCAAGTAGGACAAGTGAAGAAGGAAAGTATTCATGTAAGGTGTATTTTTATGTGAGCTCGCAGGCCCCAAACATTTGAGGACTCGCAGGTCCCGGATCTTATCACATATCCAGTTTAACAGTTATGGGTCATTTCTTGGGTCTTGGATCTGTGTAGTCTCCCCTTTTACTTTTCCCATATATTACCGTTAAATAGAAATCATCAAAAAGGAGTCTCAGAACAGGTCCTTGTGACCCACATAAGTTATTGATCTAGAATTGTAATAACACAAATGGAGAGGAAGGACAAGGAGGGGGGTGGGTGATAGTTCGTTGAGGTCAGTGTCGGTGTCGCTCAAGACTGTGGGTTGATCAGACCGTAGTCAGTCACCGTCAGTGTCGATGTTGCTCAATACCGTAGTTTGTCTGTGAAGTCTGCAGAGGGTGCCGACAGTAGCCAGTATGATCATGTATTTATGTGTGATAAATGTGTATCAGCTGCGCTAGTTTGAAGGTCCTCCACCGTCCATAGTTCCTCCATCTGGTAGAACCACAAGGTCAACGGAGGAATCACTGCCTGTTTCCAGTATTGTGGGATCACCATTTTAGTTATGTTCAGGATATGGATCTTGAGAGATTTTTATACAAAGATCTAGGGACCTTGGTGTAGTGTAGCAGCATCTCTGCAGGTTCAAAGTAGGTTGGACAGTCTGAGAACAACTTCAACATGTCATGTATCCCCTTCCAGAAGGAGAGAATCTTCATGCACTTCCACCATAGCTGAAGCAGTGTGCCCCTCTCAACACTGCATCTCCAGCATGGTGTGAGTGGTCCTGAATGATCATGTGTAGCATTGAGGGAGTGCGGTAATAAAAGGTTAACAGCTTGTATGCTGTCTCTTGAGTTTTGCTAAAGCTTGAGCAGTATGTACGTTTATTTTAAATGTAAGTCATGTGGAGAACAAAGCTTATAACAATGATTGACAGACATGATGGCACTCTGTTCCAAGACAGAATATTGTAGACTTGCACATTTTACTTTGGTTTTCAAACCTCACAAACACAACCCTGTTAAATATAGAAAGTAAGCATAGTATTAAAAATCCTAGAACATAACAGTTCCCTTTAAATCAATTTCACAAATCTATCTTGTCCCAAATGCCTTAGTTAGCTTTTAAACCAAACATCTCTAAGTTGTTTCTGTCATTCAGCATGCAGCAAGGGGTTAAGAGTGTATTGATATATTGAAAGTTCTCATATTTATCTTCCCATTTGTAATTTATCCTCATCTATTTTCTTTCTCTATGTTCTTCATGAAATCCCCCAGGAACTGAGTGAACAATAAGCAGCACAATGGGGCAAGCAGAGACAAAGATCTGTGATAAGGACATAGTGCTGGAGAGGTGAGTGGTGAAGAAAGGGGAGCAGTGCGATATAGGAAGGATAGACAGAAGCAACATAAAATGAAAGCTAGAGTAGATGTAAAACCCCTCGAAGGGACAGACAAGAAGGAGAAAGTTTACGAGGGAAGAGGGATTTGGAGGTGAGAATAAAAGCAAAAGTAAACAAACATAAATAAAAAAAAATGCTAGCGAGGAGCTGGGCTGACAAAAGCCAGAACATGCAGGTCCTCAGCATTTTGTTATTCTTTAAATATCCTTTTGACTAAGCCATTTCTCAGTCTCTGATAATTACTTTTCAGACCTCTGGATATTCCCTGCAGGTGAGCCCAAACTATTGTGAACTCCAGGCAGCTCACCGTCCTAGGTTTAGTGTGCCAAGTAGGAACAATGAAATAACCATTCAGCAGCAACTAATGGCTTTGTGCTACAGATAATGTTGCAGCTTCATGAAGCACTGGGGCTGTGTGATTTGACTGCCATTTTGACTTTAATAAACAAAGGGAACATTCTCACTCTTAAACAAGTGAATCAGATCTACACACACACACACATATGTACACATATTTTTCATGGTTTGCTAGATTAGTAAGCATTCACATTTCAAGCTAAACTGCATGGTTTCCTTTTTTGTGTTTGTTTATGTAGCAATAACAGTGTTATTTATTCAGTTAAAGGAACACTCCAAGCACCATAGCCACTACAGCGTGTGATACCTGGCGCCACACCGTTGTAAGACAGCAAACCATGTAGAACAGTTTGACTTCTTACCTTGGGTCAGTTGGGTGCCACTCCCCATCTAAACTACTTCTAAGTGAAAGCACTAAACTCCCGTTCAGGAGCATTCGCTCACTCACCTGAGCTAAGCCCTGCAATGCACAGCTAGCCCTCTGGCTGAGAGCATTAGCTGAACGCGCTCAGCCAATGAGCTAGGCCTAACAGTGCTGATCTTATCTCAGTGATACAAGCTTCCTGCTTAACCTAAGCAGTAGTTGAGGCAGGGGCATGATGGACTTCAGGTACGAAGTTAAACTGTTCTAAGAGGGTTTGACTCCTTACAATAAAGGGGTGCCTGGGCACTCCTGGCGCCATGACTTTGGTTCTTGGAGTGTTCCTTTAAGTGTTTTTGCTATCAGGAATTCAGGTAAATTGAAAGTGAATATCACAATTTTAGGCCAAAGTAGCTGGTCTACAAAAATGATGACTAGGTGGATGTTTGACGTTTTGCTATTTTTGCTAAAAGTTTTTGAGTTCGCTTTAAATTGACAATACACACTTTAGTGAAAACTCTGCACATTTATATCTGTCAAAGTCAGACTGGCATTGGTAACTTACTTATATAGCCCTCATGAATCTTAATAATCATTGAGGACGAATGCAAAGTAATTAGGCCACACCAGTCCTCCAGAATTCTACCTGTATCTCTGGGCTAATAACGCTGGAGGCTGCCATATGACAGTCCGTGATAATGACACAAGAAGAACTTAGATGTGAAGAACTTACACCACCATGTAATATATGCAGAGATGTACATCCCCTGTGCAATAAATGGCTTTCAGCCCTACATGAGCTATGAAACAAATCACATAGGAATAAAAAGCCATATACCACAGCAAGGGATTCCAAGTGGAGTCATCAACGTTGGAAACAGTTCAAACCATTGGAAGAGCAACACATTAAAAACATATGTTAAAACAGATATGCAAGCCTTTTGCCATTTCGTACTAAAGGACCATCATGGTGAAACATATCTTTCCCCCTTCCCAATACAAAATCAGCAAGAAAACACACACACACTCCACTTCCCAGTACAAAGTCATGAAGGAGGCACACACGTCTCCCACTTCCCATTATGAAGACACAGACATCTTCCTTCCTAATGCACAGCCATATTGGGGAAACACACCTCTCCCATTTCCGAATGCACAACAATAAGATGGATACAAAGCTCTCCCACTTCTCAACACACAACAATAATATCCCACTTCCCAATTCACCAAGATTATAGAGAAATCACTTTACAATCCACAACCCTCAAGGAGATACACACCTCTCTCGCTTTCAAGTACAAAGCTACCTGGGACATAAACTTCTCCCACTTTCCAGAACAAGGACACACACATCTCTTTACAATTAAGTTCTGAGAAACGATCAATAGACACAGCAGTATTATTTGATGAGGCCATGCTCAACATATCTGATACTGAGGATAAATTACTGTCTGTGCACTCTACCATGGTCTTTCAAGGAAATGGGACCCTTGCCTGCAGGTGGAGGTGTGTGAGCACTATATATTATATATCCGTCTTAAAGAAGCAGTGATCTGTCACTTTGCTGGCACAGATCTCTGTTGCCCGCTAGGAATGTGGCACTCGACTAGTAAGGGATAGAGGCATGTTGTTTCAACATTAGTGGGAAATAGTAAATAAAGGAACACCTACAAATTACACATACAGTATGCCTTACTGAAAATCTATTATAACTAATAAAACTTTGCAATATTAACTTCCAATCAATATTACAGGATAAAGCCAAAGGGTTGCATTCTATGACCAGAGGTAAGTTCAACTGAGTAACAATTCTCCCATTAATGAGAAATCTGTTATTAAATTACATGTGAGAAACTTATCTCTGGTCACAGAGTCCAGTTCTAGATCTTGTTACCCTAACACACTACAATACACACACACACACACACACACAGACACGAACACATCATCAAACTATATGCTTGTTAGAGGATATAGAAAATATACAGCTGCATAAAATATTGTTACAAGTCGAGGAACTTCACATCTTGCTTTATGTCGGTGTCCTCCTTCCTCTTTGTCCTGTTTGCCGCTCCACCCCACATCTTTGCATTGAAGCATCTGTCCTCACCAACATCTACCTTCTACAGAGCACCAGTCTATGATTATTTGTCCAGTTTTGTAAACATGTCAGCGTCCCCCCAAGCGCTTTAACTCACTGTATGTGTGAATTTCCTGGGTGTATGTGCTTCCTCATCGTCTCCAGATCCTCAAAAGAGACAGAGACTCCCTGTGAACACTTGAAATGTATGAAGGGGAAGATGGGAGGGCTGAAGTGGGTGAGAGTGATGGGGAGGGGAGCAGAGGGGTGAGGGACGCAGAGCTGGGGTGGAAAGGGGGGGTCAGGTATTTTGCCTTCTCTATTCCTGGAGGAGCTAGTAACAAAGGCCCCATTCAGCTGCTTCTGGTCTGTGAAATACAAAATGCAACAGACTATTATGTGAGGCACATCAATACACCTCCCAATCAAAACCCAGAGCAGCCACGAATCTGTGCACCTGCTACCCCATCCTTTACAACCACGGAGTACGGAATTGTGAAATTGTCCTCTACCTGTGTTCCTAAACCTACCAGCTTTCTCTGAGATCCACTATGTTTCAAAACAGGAAAAAAAAAAAACCAAGTATCTTATTAAAAAACAAACACAAAAAACAAATATAATATGTAAAAAAATTTATCAGGGAAAGTAAAATCCCGAACCCATTTGGATAAGTGGCTGATTATATGTTAAAACTGCTGTACTGTGTCGCCTGATATTTAGTTGTTTCATTGTAATTTGGAGGAATAGGGGGAATGGGATAGACGAAAACACTCTTTGTGTCAAGGAGCATTATGCATCAGCTTGATTATGGCTGGGATGCAACAAACCAGTTATTTAGGGTAAGGGTGGGGAGTTTGTAGCCCTCTTATGGTGGTGAACTGAAACATTTGGTATCTTTAAGGGGAACACAAGGCTTACAAACTCTGTTTTAGGATACTCTTCAACCCAGGATTTAACAGTGTATCACTTAAAAGGATGCTATAGACACCAAAACAACTTTAATGAAGCAGTTTGAGTGTATAAATCATGCCCCTGCAATAGCACGGTTTGATTCCCTGATATATAGGATCTAAATAACTTTTGTTTCTCTCCATGTATTAGTAGCCATACTTCCAAGGTTGTAAAAATAGTTTTCAAAAATGGTTTCATTTTCATTCAAATGGTATCTTATTTTAGAACTTTTTATCTTCTGCTCTGTAAATTGAATTTTGATCACATACACGATTCCTGGAGGGTCTAGAAGGCTATTAACAGACCTGGAGTAAGAAATTCTAAAGTAAACAGACTGTGCAATAAAGGAAGTTTAAACATTAGAACTCCCTTTACAGGAATTGTTTAGGAAGGCTGTGCAAGTCACATGGAGGGAGGTGTGACTAGGGCTGTATAAACAAAGTGATTTAGCTCCTAAATGTTAGAGAATTGATCAGTGAGACTACAGGGGCATGATCTATACACCAAACCGCTTAATTTAGCTAAAGTTGCTTTGGTGCCTATAGTGTCCCTTTAAGCAAATGTACTTCTTGCACATTCTCCTCTGAGCTCTAGGATACATTGAGCATCCACAGCATTAAAACCACTGCCAGGTTAAGTGAATAATATTGATTATGTCATTCAAATGGTCTATACACCAAACTGTTTCATTTAGCTAAAGTTGTTTTGGTGCCTATAGTGTCCCTTTAAGCACATGTACTTCTTGCACATTCTCCTTTGTGCTCCAGGATATAATGAACAGCCACAGCATTAAAACCACTGAGAGGTTAAGTGAATAAGATTGATTATGTCATTCAAATGGCACATGTCAAGATGTGGGATATATTAGGCAGCAAGTGAACAGTCAGTTCTTGCATTTCATGTACTGGAAGAAGGAAAAATGGGCAAGCGAAAAAAATCTGAATGACTTCGACAAGGGCTAAATAGTGATGGCTAGATGACTGGGTTAGAGCATATCCAAAATGGCAAGTTTTGTGTGGTGTTCCCGGTATGCATTGGTGCAAGGAAGGACAACCAGTAAACCAACATCAGACACCTAAGGCTTATTGCTGCACATGAAAACTAAGACTAACCCATCTGGTCCGATCACATAGGTGAACTACTGTAGCTCAAATTGCTGACAAACTTAATGCCGACAGTGATGCAGTTTCACAGTGCCGATGGTGACCCTGTCCACCACCAAAAGCACCTTCAATGAGAATGTGCTTCACCAGACCATGGAGCAATGGAGGGTTGGCTGGTCTGGTTTAGCACATTTTCTTTTAGATCAGGTTGCTGGTCGGGAGTGTGTGCGTCGTTTACATGGGGAAGAGATGTTTTATGAGAAGAAAGCAGACCAAAACATCCGATATCAAGGCTCTGGGCAAAGCTCTGCTGAAAAACCTTGCATCCTGGCATTTATGTGGATGTTATTTTGACATGTACCACCTGTGACGAAAGTAACCTCGTCACTGGCTTTTGGAGGGGCCTCTTTGCCAGCCTCCTACCCTGTGATTATGGCCCTGTGACAAACTGAACCTTGTCATGGGTTCTTGGAGGGGCCTGCTGGCCAGCCTATTGTCTCAGGACTATGGGCCCTGCAATATATGTTGCCCAATGCACTTTAAAAGGCCCTGTTCATGTGAAGTATGTACTTTTGTACTTCAGACAGACTAAGCTCTTGTAAGAGCTGTTCCTGCTTGACTCACTGGAGCGAGAAAGGTTTGCCCACTGGAACCTGCAGCCTTGTCGTAGGTCCAGAGTGGGTAGGAGACGGCAAGACCCCAACCAAGCTGCGGCGGTTCGTGGGGGTTTGCAGTGGTTATGGTGCTCCAGCGCAGTGCTTATGGTACTCGTCAGTACTAGGAAGCAGCGATTGACGGAGGTACCCGGTCGGGGTGCAGTCGGTCCGTCACACCACCTATCTAAAGATTGTTTCCAGGCCCCCTTACATCACTTCATGGCAATGGTGCTCCCTGATGGCAGTGGCCTATTTCAGCAGGATAATGCCCTCTGCCACTCTGCAAAATTGTTCAAGAATAATTTGAGAATAATGACAGAGTTCAAGGTGTTGCCTTGGCCTCCACATTCACAGATCTCAATCTGATAGAGCGTCAGTTGGACATGCTGGAACAACACATCCGATATATAAAGGCCCCATCTTGCAATTAGTAGGATCTGCAGCTAATGTCTTGGTGCCAGACACCACAGGACGCATTCATATGTTTTGTGGAGTCCATGCCTCATTGCATCTGAGCCTTTTGGGTTCAACCTACACGATATTAGGCAGGTGGTTTTAATGTTGTGGCTGATCAATGTATATAGCACTTAACAATAGAGTACCCACCTGGAAAAGTGTTCAAGCACCAAGAGCCAGAGGCCAAATGCACTAGCACTGCTCACATTAAGCTGTCACCTGCAGGAAGCCACCTAAACAATCATCACATTACAATCCAGAGCTGTAAATACAACCTTCAAGGGCAAACCCACGTGTGATCCTGAGATCATAATTTACAGCAGAGTGTCTGAAAGCTTGACTCTCACTCAACATATCCTCCAAATTCCCGGTCACATAATACAGGAACATGAATTTCTCCTGTACTGCTCCAAATAATTAAACATACCGTACATTACTAAAAACACATAGTTTTCATCAGTGTTGCTAGAAAAAGGTAAAAAAAATTTAAAAAAAGTCTTTACATTTTTATGCAAACGGGAGGGTGGGGGGGGGGGTTGCAATATGGATCTTGGGACAAAGACACAGTATCGTTGGGAATACAGATTTGAATCTCTAATGTTATAGTGTTCCTTTAAGGATAGTGCATGTAACATTATTTAACAGAAGGGAGATTCACAATGAGAGATGCAAACCACTAGGGGATTTCTTTAGAGGTAGCCGCACTTCAATACAGCAGGAGAATGCCACACTGACTTGAACATGAAACTGGAGTATAGAAAACTTCCACACTGACTAGTTATTCAATGTTAACAATTGCTTCCATCACAAAATGGATGGGATTGAATTCTGTTTTACTGGTGGGATACAGGGCCTCCACATGCAAGCAGAGACAACAAATGAGTAGGCTAGGTGTTTCTGTCAGGAACAAAGATACTTGTGGAATTTGAGAACTACAAAGGCATGGTATAGCTGGAAATCTATGATGGAACAATATAAATATATCAAAATATTCTGAGGCAGTGCAAGTAGGATTTTTTAATATCTGATACCACAATAAAGAGGCTTGCAGTATCCATTTTTCGCATTCTATATCTTATATTTTAAGTTTGTTGGTAGTTCAAGGTGCAGTCTCGGGAGCTGCATCATGAAGCACCCCTTGTCTGATTTGGATGAGTGGAATTACCTTGGGTACTACTACTTTAGCACCCTTTCTGTTCTGAGGACAGTGTATGCAACTGGAGCAGAAGGGATTCCCATAATAACAATTTTAGTGCTGGAATATAATACTTGCTAATAAGATAACTAGGAGAAGAGGTCAAGGTCAAACATAGAATGGACGATATGGTTGGTTTCTAGTGTTGGTTTTCTTTTCTTACATTTTCATCTCATTGGGTACATGTATAATTTTAATTTCCGGTTTATTTTCAACAGCAAAAGATTAACTTGAAAAATTTAAATATTAAAATAATTTATTTTTCATTGTATAAATATAAGCTAGGAAGCCTCCTCCCATCCTTATATTATATGATATGTAAGGGGATGGAAGTAGTGATACTTTATTGAGTGAAGTAGAGTTCAGAGGGATTTTCGAAATCCAGAAGTTTAGGAACTCAATAAAGTCATGTATGGTCTTGCTAAAGGACTAAACTGACTCTTATGTTAAATATGTTCACAAGACCTGTGAGTTATATAAACAGTTATTAAAAACAAAATTCAGGTTTAGGCATTGGTTTACTCAGATTATAACCCACCATTGGAATACAATCTGTGTTTTAAAACAACAGGTCATTGCAAAAGAACCATACAGAAATGTGGGTTAGATTCTAAAAAAAAGTGAGTGCTATTGGGGCATCCAAAATGTAGCGCTGATGTTGGTTTCTGTTCTGGCAGTGCCTGGAGTTGAAGAAGAACGGACGGAAGAGAGTGGCGGCGACTTCGAAGAAAAGGTTCAGTAAAGTAAACCTGACCTATCCCTGCATCCTCTTGCTAATTATGCAAAGACCCCAGACAGTGACAGAGTCACTTTAACATGATTGTTCTTTATAATGACTATGACTTTCTTAGCAACTATGTTTTCCTGGTGCTATTTTTGTGTGCAATATTAAATATATGCTCAATAAATTCTGAATAATATATATATATATATATATATATTTTTTTTTTTAATTTTTTTTTTTTAAAGTATGTTTTTTTTGCTGTTTCTGTGTTAAAATCTGAAATTGGCATTCAAGCAGATGAATTATATAAGCGAACTGCCAATGAACTGTGGTTGCAAGTTAGAGCTTCAAAAATGCCACTGTTTTAGCTGTTTATTAATATATAACATTTTATGTTAACATATCTAGATAAATCTGAGTCTATGTCTATCGTCAAGCTTAAGTGACTTTCGGAATCCATGAAAAAGATCTACAGATCATATATATAAAATGGACAGTGGAAGAAAAAAATGTAACTTAGAACATGCAACTAGGAGCCAGTTAATGATAGGGTTAACATTTTTTACTGTGCTAGCATTCACAGTAAAAGGTGAGGTATAGCCACCCTGTCTAACATCTATTCAATACACTGCACAGCTCGGGCTCTCATAGCTCAGAAAGAGCTGATCTTTTCTTTGTTTGGTTCCTGCATTTCTTTCAACCAAGCAAAGCTAATATCAGCACACAAATTACCCAGGGGATTCACCACATTAAATGTGTTTATTAAAATCATCTAGGTCTCACAGTAGCAATAGCAAAGGGAAAGAAATGTACCATGATAATGATTCTGCCTAAAAAGAAAACACATTAGATCAATTTCTTCTTCTTCCCTTATTTTCTTTTACACTAGTTGTCCAACTATTGGCCAATGGGGAAGCTTTGTTTTTCTGTTTATTTTTCAGTTTTTTTTTAACGCTCGTTTAATACATCCACAGGTTCTGCTATATTTTTGTTTTCAAAGCTAATTGCCCCTCAGTCTATGTTCCTGAACGAAAATGTGTTGATGTTTGAAATTTTAAAATAATACTAGTCTCTTAATTTTAGAGAATGCATACAGAACATTGATACTTATATATATGTATATATTGAAGCTTGGTTTGTGTGATTGAATGAGGTTGGATGTAAACATGACTAGGTGGGTGGTTGGATGGCAGTGTGACAGAGTGGTTGGGTATTAGTGACATGCTATGTGGCTGAGTTTGTGAATGTGATAGGGTGACTGGGTATGACTGGGAGGTGAGCAGGAAAATACCACCAGTTTGGAGTATATGGCTGGATGACTGGCTGAATGGCAGTTTGTTACTGGGTGAATGCATCCTGTTGGTGGCTGTAGATGATGGATAGGTAAGTGGAATATGTGACAGGGAAACTGAGTGCAGAAGTTATTTGGGGTTACGTTATAAGGCGAATGGATGCAAGTGGGTGGTGGTACGTGACTGGAGATGTGTATGAGGTAGTGAATGGGAAGCGAGGTGGAGGTGACACGGTCTGCGTGTGGATTATAATGACAGAGAGGTGAGTTAGAAATTTTGTGACAGGCTGGGGGTGCAATAAAGTAAGGTGAAAATGACTAAAGTGACACTCTAAATGAAGTGGTGTATTTGTGCAGAGTGTTTGTTTCCATTCTCAATCTGTTCCCTTCTATCTCTTTCCACCAGCCTCTGTTCATGTACCTCTGCCTTACTTGTGCTCCTCTCCCCATATTCCACCCTTCCCCACTTGTTCCTTCCTTCTCGTTTTTACCCTTCCCTCACTTGTTCTCCCACCATTCCTCCATGTTCCCCTTCCATCACTTAATTCCTCCTCCCTTTTCATATTCCCCTTCCGTAAGTTGTTTCCCTTGTCCCTTTCTTCTCATCCCCCTTCCTCATTTTATTCCTCTCCTATTATACCCCATAATCACACTTGCTCCCCTCTTCTCTCCCCTCCTTCCTCTATTCTTGTCCCCAAACATGAACCTGATTGTCGCCAAGCACCATTGGGGTTGCACAGTAACAGCAGGTGTAACAGCAGTCAGTAAAGAAGGTCACGTGGGGTTATGATGCTGACATTACCTGCACACCTTCTCCAGTATTTCCTTCGGTTGCCTGCCTGAAAAAGAGGACCTGCTGCCACATTTGCCAGGCAAGAAGAGGAAAGAGCAATTCCTCTTCTTGGCAGAGCACACTGTGAAGCCTGTGCTACCACCAATGATAAATGGTTTGATCAAGGAGTGCCGCCTTCTTCCGTTTGCCTCATCAGAAATCCAGCCCAGCATGCTGAAGTAGAAGGGAGCTATGTAGCCAATCATAGCATGTGCTATGAACTTCAGCCTCTAGCAACTTCTGTTATTCTTGCGATCCAGTGTCATTTAAACCTGACACAGTCTGCTGAGACTTTTAGGTTGGTAAAATGAGAACAGTAATACTAAAATCAATACCCTACACATTACAAAAACTAGTAATAGCTAAATAAATAACTGCACGTTACATAATTGTAACAAAATGTGCTTTTATTTCATATTTTGAAACAAATGCACACAAATTTAATGGAATGGCAGTCAGTCAGAGACAAAGAATAGGAAATAAGTCATGTAATTCAGTAGGGAAGGAGAGGTCAGGAAAAAAAGGTATACTTAAGTGTTGCTGGCACATGACTGGTATTGGAATTCTAAGGATATATAATGTTGGTTTCTTAATGTAGTTGTTTTGGAGCATAGACCCTGCCCCTTTTCTCTAGCTATGTAAAATTTTGGAGAATATGCCTCTAGTTGCTGTTAGACTGACAGCCACTAGAGACATTTCCTTTTAAGACCATTGAAAATAAAAAAGCCTCATGTTTTATCTTCCACGGGAAGCATTGTATTGGTGGAGTGCTGCAAATTCTGCGCATGTGCCGTGGTAACGCAATGTTTCTCTATGAATAGCATTGGATTGGACTGAGATCATCAGGGATGGTGATCCCAGAGGAGCCAGAGTGGCTGCCGAAGACTGTCCTGGCACTAAATAACAGGTAAGATTAATAGCATTTTTCAATATGTTAAAGGGTTGGCACATAATCTAAGGCATATCTAAATGATATAAAAAAATATATAAAATAGTCTAACACAGTTCTTATCAACTTGATCAGTTGTGAATAGGGTAAGTAGGGAGCTGAAGAATATCACAAGTTATGAGTAATGTGTGAATAGGTTAGTCCATGCAAATAATATTCTGAAAAACTATTTCATAGTGGACGCTCCCATGACTTCTTTCTCCTGTGACACATGCTCATGGAATTTTCCTATTGATTTCAGAGGACGTGATAATGCATCGACCAGATAAATATCTAAGCACATTTTGAGCTACTTATTGAAACAACCCCCACTGTGTATTTGTGTGTTCACTAATGCAGCTGCGCGAAGAAGCATATTAGTTTGAAAGCTAAGAAATATCTAAATTTTTCACAAAATCTTGCCAGTCACGTTGATTCTGTTTTGTGATACCCACACACACATACTACATATTATCTTTCCCTGTGCATTCAAATAGTAGGGATGAGCCACTATTTTGTTGGCAGACACATTCATTCAAATAAATGTTATAATACTCATATCACTTATCAAACTAATGCAAACAAAAACGCATATTTTTACAACTGTTAAGGAGCATTTAATCATCTTACATACCCAAACTGTATCTAACAACTGCACATAAGTATAAAATAGATTCAGGGCTTACAAAAAATGTTAAAAAGAAAACAACGGTCCCCTAAAGCACTCCAGCTTGCTAAAAAGGGTTATGTGTGGAGTGCCCTTTTTTCACTTTAGAAAAAGTGTATATTTTAACAGAAATTGGCACTTTTATAAATTAGTCTTGTAACACCCCCTTGGCTTTCAAGCAGACAACAGGTCCTCAGTGAACCTGCCTGCCTTACAAAGACTTCTCATAGAGTTGTATTGGGAAGTCTGTGATTGGATAGCCACAGAAAGTCTGGGCTGAGTTAGAAGGGTAGGGCTTACAAAGGGTTTAGACAAGAGACCTGCAGTTTTTTTAAAACTGTTTTTAGATACACCCTCAATGAAAAAAAGGCACAATTAAATACATGCATGGTTTAATTTGGGGTATATAAACTATACAGTGAATATCAATATAATGGGGGCATTGGAGTGTTCCTTTAAATGATATACCTAGTTTGAATTTATCATGTTTTAATGCATTATGAAGACGAAAAACTTAGTAAAAATGTAAATGAAAAATGAAAAAATAACTCACTTTTTCAACCAAGCTATGCCTTCCTATTGTTTACATGGAGTGCGCAGTGTATATCCCATAAAATTCTGTCCATGAGGTGTGCTGGGTATATACTGAAAAAACATAAAACCACTTAGTGGCTTCTCAAATTCCTTCATTTTTTTCATGAATGTTGCTATATTGGCAACCTAAAAGAAGCTGCAAACTATATTGCCTTGTAGAGATGAGGGGTAAGTAATGTCAATCACAATCTCTGCAGATGAATGCTGAGATTGTGGGCAAAGGTGAAAGACATTTCAATCTGTAGCCAGGCAAGAAATGTCAGAGAAAGCAAATGAGGTTTTATAACTTTCACTGTGCTACAAGTCAATGCTTTGGTGTTGAGATAATAACACAAGATAGTAAGTTTTTAGCGCTTGTTATGTGGTCCAATAGGCAGCTTGAACAAACCAAACCAGAGTCTCATGTTGCTTGTTGTAAATGGTTATTGCCTATGAGTAGCGAAGCAGCGCTTTGGAAATGCCCTCATGTTAAGGTCAGTATAGATCAGTATTTAATGAGACAAGAAGATAAGAGGCAATATATAGTGTAGTATGTTGATTACTTGGTTAAAGAAGACAAAAGGAATTGGATTTACAATGTATGGAGCTGATAATTAGCTCCAATTTGCTCCACCTGGGTGGTATAATCCCCGCCTGTGAATATATACTTGATATCTTGGTCCAATAAGGTGTAATCCAGAGGTATGAAAAGAAAACAGAACGTGACACCAGTATAGTGTAGTATGTCAGATATGCTGTGTGTAGTGAATTTGTATAAGTGCACACTCACATTTCTATGAGACTACTGATGACTCCCAGTGGATATGTGTGGCAGAAATCCTTACCATGGTATGCATAGATAAAACAGAGTAGAAGTAAATATACACACTGATGTAGAGCAAAAAGTGCTTTTTCTCAATCCACGAGGCATAAGTGGTAGATTCCCTACCAAAGAAACTGATGACCAAACATCAGGATAAAAGCATGAAGGTTTAAGGGTAAGAAAAATCAATAGTTTTATTTAAAATAGTATATAAAAACAAAAGTGAAAACACACTAACACATTTCACCAATCTTGCAGGTTTTCTCAAAGTGATACAGGCAAAAAGACCTTCACTGTGTATATCTAGCTCAGTACAAGTTGAAAAATAATGGTAACATGACATCATAATCATGTGACAATCAAGTAAAAACATTAAAACCAAATGCAAAATTAAAGGTAAATTATGCAAAATAATGGGCTTCCTTCATCAATAGTTTAAAAAAAAAAATGAGAGCTAGGGTAGAATGAAGGGAGTGAAGTGGCTCAGGAAGCTCATGACTCCTGAGATGACATCAGACGCTGGGAGGAAGTGACTTCCCCGGTCACTCCTCCCACCTATCAGAGAGCCCGCGCGAGAGAAAGGAGAGGGAGTCAAAGTGGGAACTTTGACTCCCACCAGCCTGAGCCACCACTGGACCCCAGGGAAAGCCACCCTCCTGCACCTAAAAGGTAGGAAACAGGAGGGTGAACTAAACATTTTGTATATGTGTGTTTTTGTTTGTATGTATGTGTCTGTGTGTTTGTGTATGTGTGTGTCTGTGTTTATGTATGTGTGTGTGTGTATTTATGTATGTGTCTTATGTATGTGTCTGTCTGTATGTGTGCCTGTCAGTTTGTATGTGCCTGTGTGTGTCTGTCTGTATGTATGTATGTATGTATGTATGTGTGTCTGTTTGTATGTGCCTGTGTGTGTTTCTGTCGGGGGAGGAAGGGGGGGTTGTGGATCAGTTTCGGACCGGGACCCCATGGATTGTGTATACGCCACTGAAAAAGACCGATTAAAATTATCTTTTGCCTATAATTTTGGAGAGATTGTTACCACACTGTGGGAAAGGTAATTTTTTCTAAGGCACAGAATTGTAGGTGCTTGGGGTCTTTATTGTGTATTAAAAAATGTTTAGCTATGGAATGGTTTGTTAAGTCTTTGGAAATGTTCCTGCAATTCTCTGTAATTTGAATTATCACAATTTTAGTTGTTATGTCAACAAATTGCAGGCCCCATGGGCATTCCAATAGGTATACTAATTTATTTTAATTACATGTGATTAGGGTTTTTATGTTATACTTTTTGGGGGGAATGGTTAGATTTAAAATAAAATCTTTTTGTATTATTCCTGTTAGTGCTTTTGAATGCTATGCAGTATTTACATTTATAAAAACTTTTTTTTAGTTGTTAGTGGTTGTTGTTTTTTTGTGTAATTTCTAGTTAAACACTTTTTAAGGTAAGGAACACCCCTAAAAATAATATTGGGTTTGTCAGAAAGGATATTTGTTAAATCTATTATCTTCTTTTGGGATCCCCCAAAATTTCATAATAATTAATTTCATTCTGATATACTTGCTATTAAAATCTAGAATGATGGGAATTATGATGTTTCTTTTTTTCTGGATTTTGATATTGGATTAATCTCTCTTCATACAGGTGTCCAATGTCTTTTATCAGGGTACGAATCTTTCCGACAGGATATTTATTCTCCTTAAGATTGTCTTTTAGCGAGTAGGCTTGTTCCAAAAAAGTTTCTAGATCAGTACAATTCCATTTTAATAGAAGACCTCCTTTTAAAAAAAATTTAAGGTTTTACACATCTCTTAACGCGTTTCGCCAAAGGCTTTCTCAAAAGTCTTTTGAGAAAGCCTTTGGTGAAACGCGTTAAGTGTGGTTGTTTATTTTTTTTTACTTATATAGCTGCTGTTTCCAGTTTTTTATTTAATAAATCTACTCTTTTATAAACCATCACCTGTGGAATACATCCTTCATACAGCCCTCATCATCCTTCCGGTTCCAGCATATATCCCTAGGTGGGGATCCACCTCAAGTTCTTCATACCACAGCAGGACATTGCTCTGGGTGACGTAAGTAGGATATTTTTCTCCATCAATACCAATTGTTTGTATATACTATACCATTGGATTTCCTATTTTGTCTTTTTTTACATATACCTACTCCATCCTTTAAACACTTATATCTATAGACTGGGATTATTCTGTACAGGCCTTCATAATAGAGCTTCGACAGCTCTAAAAAGTGTGAATGTTCACTTTTGCCCATATGTACTCCCTTCACAAACATCTACTGTACTGCACCATAATCTGTTTCTTGCTTTGTACTTATAGATTCATATAGTAAGAATATCATCTGTATCGTATGTATATATAATCTTAAACGCTGAACACTTTGAGAAAGCCTGTAAGATAGGTGAAACACATTAGTGTGTTACTCTTTATCACTTGTTTTTATATACTATTTTCAATAAAATATTGATTTTTATTACCTTTGGACCTTCCTACCTTTATCTGGATGGTTGGTAATCAGTTTCCTTGGTCGGGAATATAAAATTTACACCTTATGGATTGGGCGAAACCATTTTTGCTCTATGTCAGTGAGTATATTTCTTCTTACTTTTCTAGATTTTTACCATACAATGAGCAGTAGCATTGTGTTATTTCTGTTTTATCTATAGTTATCACCATGAGCATTTCTGCCACACACATTCATGAGTGGGAAGCTGTATATATCCAAGAGTGGAGATTACTTTATTTCATGCTATCCACTGGGAACCATCAGTAGGCTCCAATAAATGTGAGTGTGCAATACATATTCACTAGGGATGTGCATGGGCAAAACATTTGTTTCAGTTCAGACTTCCGAAATTTGGGACTTTGGCAATTTGAGAATTCGTCAGTTTCCTAACCCTACTCCTAACCCTTCCCTTACCCCACTCCTAACCCTACCCCAACCCTACCCCTACTTCAACCCTACCCTACCCATAACCCCACCCCTACCCTAACCCCACCCCAGCCCTACCCACACCTCTAACCCTAAGCCCACCCCTAACCCTAGCCCTAAACCTAACCCCACCCTAACCCTACCCCAACTCCACCCCTACCCCAAACCCAACCCCATAACCCTACTCCTAACCCCAACCTTCCTCTACCCCTAAACCTAACCCTACCCCTAGTAGAGTTAACGGTGGGTTTAGGGCTAGGGTTAGGAGTAGCCTTAGGGGTAGGGTTAGATTCCTGTCATCATTCCCTTCATTTTCCCTTCCTCTCCTGTTTTGCCACTTTTCAGAAATCCGAAGCACTTCAGCACTTCCGAAATTCGGCGCTTTGGAAATTTGGTTGGGCACTTCCGAAATTCAGCTCTTCGGCAATTCAGGACTTCAGCAATTCGGCAGTTCTACAATTTGGTTCGGTTCGGCACTTCCGAAATTCAGACATTCGGAATCGCACATGTTTAATATTCACTCCACCCAGCATATATGACATGCTACACTATATTAGTTTTACTTTCTGTTTTTTTTACATACCTCTGGATTATCTCCTTTTAGACCAAGATGGTAAGTATTTATCTGTGACAAACCCTGTAATTTCCCTTGCCCCAGTTTTTTTCCCTGATCTACCGAACACCGACCACCCCTGGCTCAATTAACTTCACAGTAACCATTAAATTAAGTGCTCTCCCAGGGCGGCCCGAAAGCAGGCAGCAATACTTGGTCGTTGAGGGTCTGGAACTCTAAGTCCAACACTCTAACCCGCGAAACAACGGTAACTTTGTACCAACACCTGCTTCTATTCCCGACAAGCCAGGAGAGCACTATTCGGTGAACGCAAGAAGTACCGCACGAACTAGACGAACAATCCCTACCTATGAGCCAGGAGAACCGTTCAGTTTTGTTCATTTTGGGACTTCTGAAAGTGACCGACCGCTACCACTTTTCTTATGAAACTATTTTGGGCAGAAGCCATGTGTGCAGTCAGTCATAATGTTACTCCGGTGGCGATCTGAGCGCTATTTGGAAGCTTTTGGTGCTCAGATCCAGGCTATCCAGGGATATAGAACTTGTGGAGGTCCCTATAAATATTATGTATGTTTTGGGGTATTTTATGTTTGATATTTTGTACTTGGGAGGTAATTAGTTTAAGCAAAGTACACTCAATTATCTCGCAGACACAGAGACGCCTGGGCATGTTTTCCTATACTTTTGCTGGAGACCCCCTACTGGGGGTCTATGTATAAAAGTGGGCCATCTGCAATAATAAAAAAGCATTCCAGTTGTACCCTTTGTCATGTCTCGACTGATGCTTGGGTATGCAAGCGACACAATAATTAATTTTACCATGACCTGCTTCGATTTGGATGCACAGGAACAGAGGGGCTTGAAGGCGCTGCTCGACAACTTACATTTTAGAAGGAGTAGAGTAGAAGTACACAAAAGGTAATGGCAGGGTATAAAAGTAGGTTGCTAGTGGGTGCAAGTGCTCATAGAACAGCAGAGGGAATAGGGTTGGGTGAAGTATTGGTAGGGGAACGGGAGAGATTAGAGATGTTAGTTGCAAATTTCATAGTGATCAAGTTACTAGGAGGAAGAGAAGCAACAGGGATATATCGGGTCAGCATGGTATACCAAGGTTGTAATCGGGGTAGCTTGCAACGTTTAAATGTAGGAGTGTCCATGATATCTAGTTGAGTAGAGAGTGTGAAGTTGTTGAGGGAGGATGCAGAGCTAGGGCAGGTGAGGCTTGGAACTGGTAAAAGGAGAGTTTGGATGTTGGTGGAAAATCACTGTAGGTCAAGACAGTGGAGGTTTTGGTGAGGCTGATGTATCGAGGGTGGTATAAGTTGTGCATGGGGTATGTCGATGTCAAAGGTAAGCATATGGTGGTTTAGATAGAGGAAATGGAGCAATGGAGATATTAGAGGTGTTACAGAGATTGGTGAAGATAAGATCAAGAGTGTTTCCCACTGTATGAGTTGCTGAGTTATAGAATTGCCTGAGATCAATGGAGGAGGTTACAGAGACCAGTTGAGAGGCTTCGGAGCAATTAGGGTTGTTGATTGGGATATTAAAGTCCCCAAGTATTAGGGAAGAAGTGCTAGAGGAGAGAAAGTGGTGTACCAGGAAGAACGTTTTGAGTGAATAGCCTAGGATGACCAGGGGTTTTTAAATGATGCCAATTTTTGTAGTGGATTTAAATAGACAGACACTGTGAATTTCAAATGAAGAATAGATAAGGCAGGGACAGGGAAGATTGGTTGAAAAGATACATTGGCGGGAGAGAAGGATGCCTACTCCACCTTGTTTACGGTTGTTGAGTCTGAGAGTGTGGGAAAGTCGTAGCCCACCAAGCATATAGAAGCAGGAGTAGTGCTGTCAGGGGGGAACAGCCAGGTCTCAGTGAGTGCTAGTAGGGTGAGAGATTTTAAAACGAAGTACTTGTGTACAACTGTAGATTTCAGTCTGCTGCAGACAGAGCGGGCGTACCACAGTGCACACTGAACATTGGTAGATGAGGAGAAATGACAGGGTACCAGGATGAGATTCATGTCGTTTCTGGTTGGCTTAATGTGAGCAGAGGAGGTGAAGGGCCCTGGGTTGGAAGAGACATCAGGAGAGAAGCAGGAGGAGAGACAATGACAGGAGGTGTGAGTGGGTTTTGTATTGATGGGGACAACGATGGGATCATTTGGTAGTAGGAGAGAGAGAAGAGATAAATGAGTGCAGGTAATCAACATAGTACACTATATTTTCCCCTTGTTCTCTCTTCTTATTACATACTGACCTGGACTTGAAGACTCCTCCTATACAATAACGCTTTGGTGTCACCTGCAGATCATGTTAATGTTAAGAAGCCATTTTGGAAACAAGTAAAACAGAAATTCAAAACCTAATGATATGATTAATGAAAATGTAAGTACTCAGCTCAATTTGCATGGTTTAAAAATGATATTGCAATTACCCCAAACATTTTTTTATTTCAAATTATTAAAATTTTTGTGACTTTTTTCTTCTTAAGATTTATTTTGCATACTTACACTGTAAAAACATATTTACACTTCTTTATACACCCTCTCAAGCAGAAAGTAGAATACAGAATGAAGCTGAATAATTTGAATGTTAACAATAGCATCCATTCAATCAAATTCGGGCCTACATCCTCACTTTCTTACAAAGAAATAACATGGTGATTTTCTCAGGACAGCTGAAGCATATCTGGGAGTTTTATTAATCATCTGGTCATGTAACCCTAAAAAAAGTAACTTTGAAATAACATTGTAGTGGTGCACTGCTGGTTGGGTTGTTCCTTTAAAAACCTGATAACAGAATACAAGTGATGAGTTGTCACTTATTTTATTGATGGTTTTTTAACATAAATGCAGACATTTCATGATATAAAAGTATTAACACATTTTCAAATAGGCTTTTTCCCATGACATACCCAAAAGGGAAGGCCCAGCAAAGGAGAAAGGAAGAGTAAAATAGGCAACTGCGGACTCAAGACTGTGAGCTCCTGAAATATGTCTTGATCTTGAAATTGGATTAATCAAAGGTACATGGGGCTTGATATCCTAAAAACGTTCATCTGTCATGATAACATGGGTCTACTTCAGGGAGATCATGCCAAACTAAGGAGAAGGTCAGGGGCAGAGCGGAGAGACCGAGAAGGGATGTGAGGAGATATAAAAGGGGCTTTATAGGTGTGAATTAGTACCTTGAATTGACTCCTAAAGGATACAGGAAGCCAATGTAAGGACTGGCAGAGGGGTGAGGTGTGAGAGAACTGACTAGAGAGGAAAATCAGTCTGGTGGCAGCATTGATTACGGACTGTAGCGGTGTAGTGTGGCTTTTGGGAAGACCAATCAGGAAAGGGTTACAATAATCCATGTGGGAAATTACTAGAGCATAGACAAGCTCCTTGGTAGCATCTTGTGTAAGAAAGGGGCGGATGCAGGCTATTTTTTTAAGATGGAATCTACAGGATTTGGCAACATACTTGATGTGAGGATCAAAGGTGAGGCCAGAATCAAGTATGACGCCAAGACTTGTAAGGATGGACTTATGTGAATATCACTAACTTGAAGGGAGAGCGAAAGAGGAGGATCACTATTAGGAGGAGGAAAGACAATGAGTTCAGTTTTAGAGAGATTGGGTTTCAGAAAGCGGGAGGACATCCAGTCAGAGATGGAAAAAAGGCAAGCAGTGACACGTTGCAGGGCTGCAGGAGAGAGGTCCGGGGAGGGGAGATATATCTGGGTGTCATCAGCATACAGGTGGTAGTGAAATCCAAAAGAGTCAATAAGTTTGCCAAGAGAGGCAAATATAGTATAAAGAGATAATAGAAGGGGACCAAGGACAGAGCCTTCGGGGACTCCAACTGAGACAGGACGAGGGGAGGAGGTATCATTAGAAAAGGAGACACTGAATGAGCGTTGGGAGAAATAAGAGGAAAACCACAAGAGGACAGAGCCACAGAGATCAAATGATTGAAGAGTTTGAAGAAGGAGAGCATGTTCAACGGTTTCAAAAGCAGCAGACATTGTGATATAGTGATATTGCAGAAGGTCTTGCTGGTAAAATATGTCTTTTTACTGATGATACAAAAATTTGCAACAGGGTTGATGTTGATGATAAGCCAAATGGCAAATGATTTAGGTAAATGAGGAAATGGTCAGAGCTGTGGCAACTGACATTTAATGTGGATAAGTGCAACATAATGCATCTTTGGCGTAAAAACCCAAGGGCAGAGTACAGAATATTTGGAGTATTTAAATACTTAAATGTGAGTACTTTATGTTTCTATACCAACCTGCCTTATAATATATACAGTGAGCACTATTTGGTTTTATTTTCTCTCCATACCGAGGACCTCCTCCGCTTATCAACTCCCATATCCTACCAGTAGGGGATCGACGCCACTGAATGCCAGTTATACCTGAGCTAGTTCTAGCTCTCTCATAGGTGAGTGAAAATACCACCCTGCTGTGAAGTTTTTTTTCCCTTTCCGCTTTATTTTCAGTTACCGTCTGCACTATTGGAATCGTTCTTTTATATTCACATATTTTAACCTGAACCAAGAGAACCTGACCACTTCAAGATCTACACATCAAATCAAATCTCCTGTAAGTCTACCTAGCTTTCTATCTGCCCATTTGATATCAGGACTATTGTATTTTTTACTTTATTTTAATATATGTAAGTACATTACTGTATTTTAAATTACCCTACAGTTTTATTGTGGTGCGACATACCTTATTTTTTATTAATTAATATTGGTTTTATCATATCATTTTACTTGTTTTTACTTGTTTTTGTGGCGCGACCTATAATTTTTATTTAAATTTTTATAATCCTAGTAGTGTATTAGATAGATTCCCACTCCTTATGTCAGCAAAGGGAATCCCTTTCACTGATGGCAACAGAGGGATTCACTTACAGTACAGTGCACTCAGAGACCCCTCAGCACTGTGCACTTTCAGCATGAGAGGGATTGTTTCCCTCTTTGTTTCTAAATCCAAGAGATTAGAGATCAGCACTGGGCAGCATACATTGCCCTTCATTGATCACCCTCTGCAGTCTGTGATCACGCTGCAGTAAACTTGCAGGGAGCTTCTCAGTCCCTGCTGGTCTTTCTCTATCGGAAGGTATTACAAGTGATATCAATAATGATGCCAATAGGTAATGATGTATAGCAACGTAACAATGTCAAATGTATCAAAAGAAGTTTGTTCTTATGTCAAAATGGAAATAAAAACTATTCAAGGAAAAAAAAAATTATGATGCCAATGGGACCGTGGCAAAACACAGTGATTTAAAGGGATGTGTGCAGCGCTAACTTATTGTGACACAGGGGACCTCCATGCATTGAATGATAACCGGGGTTTCCCAATAACCAGCAAGGAAATGATCCTTAAGGATAGGGCACCCATGATTGAATAATTCAATCATGTGTCATTAAGACTATTACCAACTCTTTTCATAACACTTTGTAAATATCCTCCAATGTTTATGAAACCTAATCTAGTATAGTGCAATGTGCAAATGTATACTTCACAAACAGGAAGTAACAGGTGTAAACCCAACTATGACAAGTATTTATTGGTCACAACACATATGTTTCAAGTACATAAGTCACAATTAATGGATACCTCGCCTCTAAATGTCTACATTCAACTTAAAATGAAATCATCCCAAATGCTAGATTTTTTACAAAAGTTAACTTGTATATTTATTTTCCAGTTCTAACGGGAAATATTTATAGAAACAGATAAATATGAAATAGAACTTTCAGGATCACATGACCTAGATACACAAGGTTAAATGATTCATAAAAGGTTTTTTGTTTTTTTTAATTGGCAGACATTGTTGTAAAAGAATACTTGAAAGCATTGTGATTTAAAAATTGGAAGATTTAAGCATACTCTAAAGGAGCACTATAGTGTTTGAAATACAAACATGTTTGCAGGGCTATAGATAACCTCCTGGGAACTGAGGAAAATATTGTCTTCCAATATGCCAGCCATTTTATATGAAAAGGAAGAGGAAGTTCCCAGCATTCCAGCCTATAACATGACATATCACTGGAAAGCTCAGGGTGTCCTCTTTACAATACAGCAGGGCTTGATAGAGTAGCTCAAAAGAATAAAAAGAGATGCATGTGAACGAAATGTCTAGTACAGTGGACAGAAGTTAATTGGCTGGGTCTCAGGAGGTTAAACTACCTATTTTGGACCTTCCTCAATGTCTATGAGGTTATGAAGGTAAGATTGACTTACCTATTAACCCTCACCGTGCTGATTCCATCCTTCCACTCAGCTTCTTTAGTTGAAATCATCAGTGTATAGTGGAAGGCTAGTGCGCATGCATGGCATAATATCACACTGCTCCAATCTCTGTGAAACCACCTGACTGAATAGGGCGAATGTGAATCTTGTGTGTATTTATTGAGGAAAGGCTAGCACTTGAGGTACTTAGTAAATCCACTGACACATATCACAGGCCATCTGTCTATCTGCCACATAAACTAATATTAATACACTTTTAAAAGAGAGCAAAAATAAAGTGACAAGATGTCTCTATACTACTGGTTTTCAGCCTATTTTGGTCCAGTGCACACTTCAATGAGAGAAATATTTCCACATGACAGGCACATGTTTTACCTTTATCGGCTGATTTTAAAGGTCACATTTACTTGAAGCCTTACTAGATATATATGCATAGCGCTATCCAAATTAATGTATTAGTGTTAATTAATTGCCAGATGGAAATCACAGTTTTTATGCTGATACTTGTTAAAAAAAAAAAAAATAAACACACCTAAAGACTGCATTCATCCTATTATAGCCATGTACTCAATGTCTACGTAAACCATTTTCAATACGTTTGACCAAAACTGTGGGTCCCCAAGGAAACCTCAGCTTGACCCCCAGCACACATATTTCTAATGCAGAAGTTCCACTTCACGTTAGCAATACCAATTGTGTCCATATTTGCATGGCATTGATAGACTGAACCCATCATTTGTCATGCTTCAGGGGCCTATTGTTTTGGTTAAAGTATTAGAAAACAATTTTACCCAGGAACTGCAGAAGGGGGTGGGTTGCAACCACAGCCTACAAGCACCATAACCACTACATCATGTTGTAATGATGATGTTTCTTAGACAGCCCCTTTAAAGAGCAATGTGATACACTGAAGCTGCTGACAGTTCAATTTTGCTCACCCCAATAAAATGTTTCTGAGGCATTTACTGGGGTGAGGTATGTAGATGAGCAAAACAAAAAACACACTAACCTCTACAGCGCTGCTGCATACAGCAGCTGAAATCTTCCCATAAGCCCTTGTACGCCAGGCATTTTTCAATAATTCCTTCCATTCACTGCACACAAGTAATCATGGGAAAGCAAATAATTCACATTCTATGTCAGGTTATGCCTTGCAACCTCACATATGATGTAAATATCATTGAAAAAATGTAGCAATAGTGAACAATATATTTAAAATAAACAGTACCATTCGTAGCTAACTTTCACTGGGCTGTGCAGAAATCCCAGAGTTCACAGCCCTCTATTCTTTGGCATCTATCCTACAACCACATCCTACCATCTGATTGAATGCATTTTCTCTTTCAGCTGTTTAATTCGCTGTTATTTCTTCTAGGACTGACTGTGTATAAATGATTTGTTCACTTGTTTGTACACATACCAACTAGACATGGCTCCAAGGGAGCTCCTATATATATAGGGGCACACTCAAGGTACATCAAAAAGCAAGTCCACTTAGAAATAAACTTGTGCATTCATTTTGGAAGAACTTTCTCCCTTTTGTGTACCCCTTTGTTTCCCTCTGACCAGAAACGCATTGACCTTTCCGCAACACTTGACAAATCTTGAGCCATATTACAGCTTTTTTGTTTCAGGTGCTAGAATTAAGACATGGAGGTACTCCTAGACATTACGGGGTTAACATAAAATGTAGGTGATTATATATATATTTTTAGGTATTAATCAGCAATACAATCAATCAGGGCTGAATTGTTTACATTTTCTTCAACTATTCTTGCTACAAATTGCTGCATAATCACATATTTACATGAGCTTATATACAACTGTTTTTTTGATGGGGGCAGGAAAAGGCCAATAAATAAGGTGAAACAAAATCCCCCAGCTTTTTTTGGATTCTTCATTAAACTGTTCTGTGCGTTAATTATGTAAAGAAATGACCTTAAATTCTTTCTTATTCCTTCCGGCATCAACACACCTTCTCCGTCTTCATATCACACTCCATGTCCTGTGTCCCGTACTAAATTCCCCTTACCCTCTGTGCCCCCTTTTCTTTTCTGTTTGGTCTGCGCATTTCACTCTAAGAGGCATTAATCCTTTCCTTGCTGGAGCACCCTGGAATTCAGTGATTAGTCTCTGTATTTATCTCTTTTTTTCTTATCTATAGCATTTGTAGATCATCCTGCCTCTGCTCTCCACCTCTTACTCCTCTTTACTCTCAATATCTGAAGGGTTGAAGGAAACAATACTTACCGTGTTGTGTTTTCACAATGACTGACCCAGTACTGCCTCTGCCCCCCTTTCTCTCTCTCTCTCTCTCTTTGTCCCTCTCTTGCTGGCTGCAGATTATGTTGTGCTCTCCTCTGCCTGATCCTAGGGACGCTCTTCCACACACAGAGAGATTCCCTCCTGGTTTATAAGGAGGGGCTGTGAAGGACAGGCATGATAAGGTGGGGGCCAAAAGCATCACACAATACATAAAAAACAAAATTCCACTTAACCATTTCCACAACAGTCATAAACGTCCCTGCTATCACCTGTGAATAGGTTAAAAGCGCAAAACATGTCAAATCATCTTGGAAAATGATTGTGCCAGGTGTTATTTGAAAGGGGGCATTAATAGTCAAAAATAATCTTGTGTTTGTACAGTCCTGGGGGACACAACCAAATAAAACAGGTATAATAGGGTTACAACCAATCAGGAGTTTTACACCTGTACACCTTGTAGCCATGTTGCTAGGGTACAAAGGCACTTCTGAGGATGTCTAGAATTAGTGACTTGATAGTGAGTTTATGACTGTACAGCAATACACAAAAACAAACCGAGGAGTAATCAGTTTAAACAAACATATGAGTATGAATAAATATAAGTGCACTTATTTATACAGACAATTTAAGTACACATACTACATACACACATATGCAGGTGTAGTTTTATAATGAAAGTTTCAAATTATTTGTGGTAAATTACCAAGTGGTGAAAATCAATTCAAAATATTTTATGACTAAATCATTACATATGAATGCAAGATTTATATTTAGTCCAATGAATATGTGCAGGCAGTATATGAGTAAGCAAAAATCTACTTAAAGTATATGGGATTCTAGTCATTACGTCTACATGTATTTACATGTATAGTCACTATTACTGCTATACTAGTGCACACTACATGTCTGCTTGTATATTAATGTACAAAGATAGACAGACAGACAGACAGACAGATAGATAGATAGATAGATAGATAGATAGATAGATAGATAGATAGATACTATGTAACATGCACACTTTTTAAACTGGTATTTTTTAAAATAAATTATACAAAAACACATTCCCCCTAGGTGTACACAACAAAACATATTCAAACACAAACCACTACGCTGCAACTAAGAAAACAAACGTACAAAGACCTACACTATTCTGTATATACATACATTCTGTGTACAAACATACAATTCTTCATACCAAAACAACTGTAAACGCTTGTACAAAATACACTTTGTAGCTTCTCATAAATATACATACATGTATATTTTCTACAGTGCTTCTATTAAGAATTATATTTACACAGCTCAGCAAAAGCAGACTCTCCCACAAAGACTTATTCACACAGAGGCATACACTCCTAGACCCATTCACATGCCTACCTAAATAAAGTGAACTAAATGTACACATAAATAAACAAAACATACATATTCTCCAAATAGAATATACAGGCTTCCCCTAAAATACCTACACAAAGGTTTTACACATATGTCCTTAAACCTGCACATGCACTTAGCCCTGTTTTCTTACTGGGATGGAGAGAAATGCACAATTCCATTGGTTTTATACACACACAATCACACACATACATCCTACAGAAAACATATATTAAGTGATTCTACCTTGATGCTCTCTGCAGATTCCAAACAGGATGTCACAGCACTGGAATCCCTCACTGAGGAAAACCCACATACACAAGTGAGGAAGATAAGAAGAGCAGGGTGGCAAGCTTAGGGAAACATAAGGAAATGGGGACAGAGAAGAGGCAGGTGGAAAAACACAGGCAACCCTTCTGCACAAGCAGGGAGTGAGGGGGGCAGTGGAGGTAATAGGAGAATGAAAAGGAGGGGTTGGAGATGGAGGGGGGAGTCTGTCACATCCCCACTGGAGCAGCTCTAGAAACATACTAATAACCCGTTCGGTCCTGTGATATGCTGCAGAGCATCTAACACAACCCCCTGCAGACCATCTCACTAAGGTCACTGTTGGGACAACCTGCAGTGCATCTCAATAATAATGACAGAGTAGGGACTCTTAATGACAAGCTTTCCTGGGTAACTTTGCAAAGCAACCTCTGACACCACTAACCTGCATCCTGCTAGCCGCTGTATATCAGGGTACCTTTTAATTTCCTCTGGGATAATGGGTCAGCACACATGATGTATTCACAATAACACACTGATAACTTATTCAGTGTTCATTCCTTCAGAAGGACATCACAACAACAGCTTAACCCTTCTAACATTACCTCAATAACTGCTCGGAGACTTTGTAATACAATCCAGAGAGATTTTTAGCAGGTTTTCAGAGGTAGGTCTTATTGTGGATACAGTGTATTTCAAACATACCATTTTCTGTCAAGAATCCATTTATGTAAGTTGATTGGCTACCTATCCCTCCATTCTAAAACTAGCTCAGTGATCCTTTTTTCCCCCCTATAATCGTATAATATATACTAAAATAAATTCTGCAAATCACGTTGACTCTTCTCTGTGACAAACAAAAGTGTTACTACTTTAAAAATATTGTGTGGGCAACTGCCTAGGGCAAGCTGACCATCTAATTCCTTTTCTGAACAATGAAGACCCACAGACGGTAATTAAATCATCACTCCTCTGTTAATTAAACTTTTGGATACACGTTTGAAAAGGTAAATATATTTAAAATATTGAAAAAGTAGGAGAAAAAGAAACCACGCCTCCTCCAATATCTCCCTGGTTGTGCTGGATTGTGATAAAATTTGCTAAATATTAAATATACATTTAAAAGAGAATGGGGCATTACATTATAAAAGGTTAACATAATATATAGATGATTGGCAGTGTTCTATTCAATCATATCATTTCCAGCGAAGTAAGAGTTTTCCTTTATGAAAAGCATTTGGAAAGAAAATGAAATATAAAAATGGGCATTAATATTTTGGAACCTTAAAGGTCGTGTTATGAAAGATTTCAATCCAGCTACAAAATCATATTGAACTGTGCTTTTAGTGAATAACTGAAAACAACTCATGTAATTACAAACACTTTGGGAATGTTACTCCCAAAAAGCAGCACAAACCAAAAATAATTCTGGACTGTTCTCAAAAGCTACTCAAAAAACTGGAAAAATCCATTTACAAAGACCCTAAAATTAAAATCATTGAAGTTGTCATGGTGACAGCAAGACTTTAACAGAGAATTATTCAATAATGTGCTTGTAATGAGTGGAAGGGGAGAGAACCTGCGGTTTTATTGTGGCTCATTACTGAGCATGACCCTGAGAGCAAATTTGCAGCGTAAGTATATTATCACATTACCGTATAATGTAAGAATGGAATATTAATACATTGGACAGTTACAGTGGAATTCCAGAATGTAAATAAAATATATTTTGTTTAAAGGGAAATGCTAGGCTGACCCATACTTTGCTACATTAAATATATTTTGCAAAATATGAAGAAAAACAGGTATTTATACAGACAATTGGAGCACATTATTAGACTTGATAGTTTGTTGCATAATTAACTTTTCAGTTACATAGCTGAAAAGAGACTTGCGTCCATCAAGTTCAGGTTTCTTCGCATCTGTTTTTTGCTTTTGATCCAAAAGAAGGCAAAAAAATTATTCTTGACCCCAGATTTATCCTTGGATCAAGGAGATATGAACCTACAGTTGAAAAATTATATCATTGAATATTATGTTTCTGCAAATATGCATCTAGTTGCTGTTTAAACATCTGTATGGACTCTAAATGAAAAAGTTTCAAGTCCCACCGGCAGTGATTTAAAGGAAAACACCATGCACCATAACCACTACAGCTCGCTATTTCCTATCTGGTGTCCATATTTTAGCCAATGAGTTGGGCCCTAGTAGCTAGCAGAAGCTCCTGCTTAAACACTTTCCAGCTCTTCAACATTAGTAATGGAGGTAGGGAGCGGAGTTCTCTCAGCAGACCCCAGGTGAGAAGTCAAACAGTCCAAAAACAGTTCTACTACTTCAAATGGGGATACGGGAGGGCACTCTTCTCACTATAATCACTACAGGATGCTGTCTTGGTTATATGGTGCTGGGAGTGTTCCTTTATTCTTTATTCATTTAGAATATCAATACATTACATGTTTTTGTATGCTAGTGAATTATCTGGTGATCCCATAACACTGTAACCTGATCATATTGGTATTTGCCCACATATTTTGCTACAGCATTTTAATTTACCTTTTTTTATTAAATATTACACTACATTAAATATTACACTACATTTGCTGCTCTCCCTATAAAATATGTTTTTTTTTTGCATAACTAATTTTCAGCTTTGGCTGCTAAAGTGATTTAATTATACACTCCAGGACTAAGCTCCTTGGCATATTATTATAGGTATCCGATTAGCCTGCAATTGTCTGCAAATCCCCAGGCTTTACAGTCTCTGCAGTGAATTCAACCAAGACCAAGTAGTGAGTCAATCAATCATAATACTCACTCAACTTTCTATCACAGTGATAGTTGATCCCATACACCTCTGCACAGGGAGGGTTCATGTAACTATAATTCAATTGTCTTTCTACAATACAAACAATAGCAAGTGACAAAATGGCACTGAAAATATATTAAACATAGCTGCAACCTAATTAGTGTGATAACACCAAACACTAAGTAGACAATATAAACCATATACATACTTTATTTGGTTTCATTAATGCTTTCTATGATAGGCTGTAAACAAAATTGCAAACTAATATATGTGGGTGCCTGGAGGGTGCCTTGAAAATACAAAACTGGCCTGTATGAACTTTAGTTATGAGAATTGGAGAGTTGGACTAATTATTTATTCTATGGGCTCCTCTGAGCTGAGCTCCCATTTTATCCCTTCACTACTAGGCTGTTTGCAAAAAACAGCACCAAAATCCAAGTATGTTGGGTGTCCTCGAAAATAATGTTTAAATATATTTTTCTTTGTACTTATTCTCTCTTATATCATAGAAAAGACTTACATTTTGGATGAGTCTGTAATAAACAAAATACACAGTGCAAAAATATCTAAATTCAGTACATCCCTTACTGCGATTACTTTAAAGCAAGGTGAGCGCCCACATGGGAGACTCACAAATATGCATATATAGCAAGTCTGGAGCTCTAAATTAAGACCTCTCGGCTCCAAAATCTGCAATTTGGACACCAATCTCATTTCCTGTTGTCCTAACTTCCTAATTGCATTATTTTATAACTTTTTCTCTGTGGTATAGCTAGCAAATTCCGTTGAGAGCATGTCTCCCTAAAAGCCAAACAATTCTCACATTCTCACACCTTAAATGATTTCTTATTTAAATACTCCTTCCCTATAATTTTGTTGGAAACAACTTTTCACAAGTTTGTCTTTTATACAAGGTACTCCCTACAGACTACCATCAGGTTTTTCTGAACTATCTCTTCTGTAAAGCAGTCTTCAAGTAAAATGATATACTGTTTAGCCATGGTTTATAGAGGCAGCTGTCATAGAATATTTAACTGTTCACACCTACAGTTTTGAAATGGGTACTCAAGTGGAATTTACCATTTTTACAGAGATCTCCAGATTCAAAAAATTAACCCTTTTTTTCACTTAAGGAGTTGGACAATTTATTGCCCCACTGGTTATCATAAGAATACCTTACAAAAACCATCAAATCTTCTTCTGTGCCCCTACAATTCCAAAAGAGGTAATCGATGTAACAGCAATAGGCTATCAGATGTCGCACCCAGCGATGGCATGCCATACACAAAAGTAATTTCCCAGATTGCCATAAATAAATTGGCATAGTTGAGTGCAAACCTTGCGCCCATTGTTGTCCCGAAGACCTGCAAAAATAAAACCACAAAAATGATTGTGCAAAACGAGAGAAATTAATTCCAAAATATATTCCCTCTAATGTACTGTGAGATCTGAATTATTTAAAAATAAGACTACTGCTTTTACGCCTTTTGTTTGCTCTATAATAGAATATACTATTATAATATAGTATATAGGCTAATAGGACAGGTCTTATTAGTGACCGGGATATCGCCCTGCTTCCACTCTATTCCTTGTTGCACCTGCAACATGAGCTGTGTCCCTTAAATATGAGTGATTCCTTTGGACCAAAGTCTTCATAGTTTGGAATTGGTGCAGATATTGATCAAATGCCTGATGTAATTGGCCTCCCTTGTGGCCTTACTGGATCTTTATGCAGCCTAGGAAATAAATAATAAACTGACTCTATAGATATCTATGTGACATTTGTGGTTCATTTCTGCTATGTAAGTTGTTTATTTAAATCACAGAACCTACTTACTTACATGAATAAATATGGTATGTTTCATATCATGTGTATAGCCTTTTTATTTATTTTTTGCTGTTTGATATTGTTTAATATGCTTAGATATGTGCTTCCATGTCTTATCATAGCGCTAACATGTATTTTGTCCTATGGTAAATATAGTATTTTAGATGTTGTTAGCTTCTTTGCACAGGCAAGAGGCTTGTGTTAAATTTCGAGGGTTCAGCCAGTAAAGATTAGCGAGAGTAGGGAACCACTCGGTAAGTAGCAGATAGTAAGTACCATCATGAACAATGGGAGTCATTAATCACTATTTAGTGACTGTCTTTAAGTAGCAGCAGCTGGTAATTCCCATCGCTACTGGTAAGTTTTGAAGTTGGTATTAGCAGCTCGCTAATAGCAGCGAAAGGCACTGAAAACAAGTAACAACATTAGAAGCT